TATGTTCCTCCTGCTCTGCGATGCTTCAAGTGTCAGTCCTTTGGGCATGTCTCTGCTAAGTGTAGGAGCACTCATCATGTGTGCGCTAAATGTGGAGGGAAGCACAAATACGAGGAGTGCAATGAAAGTTCCCTTAAATGTAAGAACTGTGGTGGTGCAACACTCTGCGGCTTAAAAGGTTGCATTAAATACCAGGAAGCTGTCGAGATTCAGAAAGTCCGAGTTGAGGGTAAGTTGTCTTATTCTCAGGCTGTTCGACAGGTGCGTGGAGATTTTGATGTCGCTCAGGTTCCAGCAGTCCCTAAACCACCTTCTGCAGCTGAACCACTGTCTCAGGTTGTTACAATTTCGGATGTTGTGTCTTCTCCAGTCATGGTGACTGCTAGTACTCAGACTGAGACTCAGGAAGTTGAATGTCAGACTGATCCTGTTGTTGACATCATGCCTGAATCATCTTGCAAACCTCTATTTAACAATGTCTCTCCTGTTGATTTTCTCAGCTTTGTTATTTGTATAGTTGCTAATCTTGGCACTGCTCGTGCATTCAAGTCTGATGGTCTCCAGACGATAGCGTCAGCTGCCCAGTCCCTCTTGGGGTTAAAATTGTCCCCTGATGATCTGACGAGCATGGTTAAGTGAGTGAATATGGTTTTACGCCGCTTTTAACAATATTCCAGCAATATCACGGCGGGGGACACCAGAAATGGGCTTCACACATTGTACCCATGTCGGGAATCGAACCCGGGTCTTCGGCGTGAAGCATGGTTAAGGGTCAACAATGGAAGTCTTAATCCATCCTTCTTATGGTTTTCTTCATGCTAGATCACTAAGTGCTAACGGTACAGGATTTAAAGTTTGTATTAACAGTCTTGACCCAAAGCCAGATGTTTTGTCTTCAGGGGACATTCTTAACTTCTTACCAGCAATTCCGTTGGGAAGGTTATGTCTGCCTACGTAAAGTTCGTCAGTTTGGTTTTACAGGTGGTAGTGCTAAACTCACTCACTCACTGTCGTTTAGTGAAATAAGGCTCCACCATCCAAATTACAAGGGAATGAAGTCCATATTCATTTGAAGGATAAAAAAATCAGTCTCCATTTGTAATGTCTATAATAATGCTATTGCTATCTATGATGACCATAGGTCTCTGTTGAATATGTCAGCCAATCTTAAAGTAGTGTGTGGTGCTTTTAAAGCGTATGGCAGTTTCACTACTCTATGACCTATCTCGGTAATTAGCAAACCTTTATTATGGGCAAGGTGTAAATGGGCCCAGTTGCCCGAACACCTATAAAACTTTCTAAAAATAAAAGATTAGTTACCTTATTTTTTGTCGGTAGAATACTTTTAGTGTGCTACAAAGATGAGATGTTTATTATATTCCCCTCAAATTGAATTTGGAAATTATGCGGTATATCTAATCTCCTCCGCTCGTTGTCGGATTAAGGCTCGTAATTACACAGCGCAATCCCGTGAGAGAACGTGATACAACCATCATTCCAGTAGTCATAAAAACAGTTTGTGTTTACGTCTATAAATTTGTAAACATTACCTTTGGGAATCATTAAAACAAAATGACGTATGTTGTTTTCTCAACATTGAATTTTGATAGAGTGTGTAAGTCTACGGATGACAGATAAGGCTAATGTTTGTGTGTACATGCGAAACAGTTACGAACCCCCCCCCCCCTGTTATGGAAGTGCATGTCTTGGGAAGACTCCCTGCGTCGCGACTCGTCAGGTGGAGCATATTTAATCGTTTTGGCAACAGAACCTCAGGATTCTTAATGAGTGAGTGAGTTGGGTTTAACGCCGCACTGAACTGTATTCAAGTTATATCACAGTGTACCAACGTAATGTGGGAGAAAGCCCGACGTGATGCAGGTCTCAGACGTTTCCAACTTTAGTGAAACCCACGAGCACGGATGTATTGGGCAGACAAAGCAGGAAACATTATCGGGTCGAACCGGAATTCGAACGGACGATCAAAGGTTTCTGGCGTGCCCATGGGACGTAACTCTACGCAACGAATTGCGGCGCCTTAGACGACTGGTCATACAGTTATATATAACTAAATGCGGCATAAAACCATACTCATTCACAATAACTTTTTACCTATGACATTGCATCGTTCTAAGTACGTACTTAACAGGCAACATTGTATGTACAATGGATTTCATGCGATGCAAAGTACGTGTAACACAACAATGGTACGGTGTTATCATCTATCTGGTCCTGATTTTGCGTTCACATTTCGTACTATGGCATTTTTCAATAGTTTTTCAGCACAATTCGAGACGGTATGTCACTATAGAGTATTTAAGCGCAATCCCTAATTACACAACTATTAACAGCAATATTAAATATACCTTTAGCTACCCTGTGTATCGACGAATGCCTACACTATAGCGGGAATGCATCTTGGTTGGTTGGTTGGTTGGTTGGTTGGTTTGTTGTTTAACGCCGCACTCAGTAATATTCCAGCTATATGACGGCGGTCTGTAAATAATCGAGTCTGGACAAGACAATCCAGTGATTAAGATCATGAACATCGATCCACGCAATTAGGGATCGATGACATGTATCAACCAAATCAGCGAGCCTGACCACGACCGATCCGATCCGGCCCGATCCCGTTAGTCGCCTTTTACGACAAGCATAGTTGCCTTTTACGGCAAGCATGGGTTGCTGAAGACCTTTTCTACCCCGGAATCTTCACGGGTTGGTTGGATAGTATTAGAGTTTCGGGCCAACATGGACGATCAAAGCCTCCAGACACTTGAGAAGGTAAATCAGGAAGGCAATATGACCCACCATTAGGAACCCCGTCCGAATTCGCAGAGGCATCCGCCAAATGTGTGTCAAGTTGTTCAGACCTTGCACGAGACCAATCGCATACACATACCCAACACAATTAGGAACAACATCATTAGCCTAATTCTTGTTGGTTCCAGGTTCCAGTTTCAAATACTATTTGATAGACAGGAGTTCACGACGATGAGTACACGCCAGGCGAGCTAAAACCGGAGTTGTTTCAAAGGCACAACGTACATTCGTTAACTTAGACTGAATTCGGTCAAGTACAGAAAAAGGACATTTTGATGTAGAAATAAATACCCAGCATCCTCAAACCTTGGTCGTATTGTCACTCATTCGTTTTGGCAATTCATGTCAACTGATTTATAGGTGAGGTGAAGTGGGGTTTAACGTCGCGTCCAAGATTACTGCACTTATATAGCGACGTGCATGTACGTGTGTGTGTTTGTGTGACTGCTTGTACTAGTCCGGACTGATGCCGATTTATAGTGCTAGCTCACTGAGATACCATGCCGCAGTTTAACATGAATATCCCACTCAGACACAATATACTGACTCAGAGCCGACCAGTCCTTGTTTTAGCCCCTTAATGCCGAGCGCCAGACAGGGTAACAACAAGTACTATCTTTTAACGTCTTTTGGTATGACGAGGCCGGGGATCGAACCCCGGACCTTCCGCTCTCCGGGCGGACGCTCTCTCACTAGACCACGGAGGCGGTCCTACTGATTTATAGATTTATAGATTTAAATTATTGCTTTATATGTTAACAACAAGATGGGAAAAGCCCATGTTGTAATCTGGTCAAAATAAACGACAAGAAATTTAAATTCGTGTACAATTTTCTATTGTTACGTAACCATGAGTTTACTCCATACTGGACTGTTTTAGGTCGAGTTATCATCATTGCAACGGATTTAGATATACCAATGGAAATTAGTTAAGCAACACCCGTATATTCTCAAACTGATCCTCATTCTTTGGATCAATCTCTGGATTGGATTCTGAGGTATATTGTCCCATTCTGTCCCATTTACGGCCGTCGTGTTCGACAAAGAGACCCACCTGTCTCTCAGACTGCTGCTTTGCATGAGAAATGGGACAAATTCCTCAGAATCAAATCCAGAGATTGATCCAAAGAAGGAGGAGGCGTCTTGAGGCAGTTGTTCGGGCTCAGGGAGGTTACATAAGATACTGATGGAAGTCAATATTTGGACTTGCAGGTCATTGTTCTTCAATTCCGTGAACCACAAGTGTGCATGGTACTTTAGTCTGTGCCACAAACATGATATTCGTAATTATTTGGATGAAATTAAGTCATTTTCCAAATCTGTAACATCTAAACAAAACAAACACATTATTTCATGGTAATCTTGGCTATGATCCTCCTCAACCTTTTCTTTTCACTAAATAATTTATTTGGTATGGACATCCTTTACAAATTTCAAGCATTACTTCATAAAAGTTGCCCGGTCTCAGAACATACGGGTGTTGCTTAACTTATTTCCATGTGTATACATAAAACCCTACTTAGAACACCACACATTAATGATGTTTCGGCAGTTTTGAACTGATTTAGTGACAAACTTGGAATTACCAAACCGTCACCAAACTAACCCATCTTCAACCAACTGCGCGCATGTCATCTCCTCTAGTGGAGTTGTTTGTTTGTTTTTGATATTACACTATAAAGTATCGCCTGAGAATGGATGTTTACGTCAGAGCTACAGTCCAAAATGGCAGCAGAAATGTCAGGTTAAAATGTGGTTTCATATAATTCTTTGAGTTCTTGGATTTCGCTCAGGAAGTTATCAGAGCTACTATTTTCAATTGTTCAGCTGGAGTATTTAACTTGTAGACATGTGGCGTTATATTGCGAGCCTAAAACATGTCATGGGGGTGGGGCGGTCGGGTAGCCCAGTGGTTAAAGCGTTCGCTCGTCACGCTGAAGACCCGGGTTCGATTCCCGCCATGGTTACAATGTGTGAAGCCAATTCCTGGTGCTTAAAGCGTCGTAAAACCACACTCACTTACTGACACGGGGGTACTAAACAATACATCTGATCATATGACGAGTGGTCTCCCTTAGCATGACCACCTGCCGGGGAGATGCGGCAGTCTTGTTTTTGTTTCCATAGAAACGTTTATTGACCGGATACTTTCATTAATATCAACAATACTGAATTACGAGACGTTTGTTTATTATATTATAAACAATTGCACAATTATATACATTACTTATTACACTTGAAGAAAATATATTTCCTTTTACATGAGTTTATTGTCTAAATGTCTTTGAAACCTGACAAGAAAATCATGACAATTTCTAGCACTACCCCTATACACAAACGAACTCGTAGGAATGTCCTTCGAAGAGAGTTATCTCCCTGGAACCATCAGCCTGTCCTGACGGATACCTTCGGGGACCATGGCCCCACCCCCGCCCTATTCCTGGCAGCGATCTGGAAAACGTATTCTGTCCTTGGCTCCACGTTCTGAAGGACGAGACCTGGGTTGCCCACCTGGAAGGTCTGGTCAGATGAGGGGCTGTCAGCAAGGTACACCGTCACGACGTACTCCCCGAGCCGGCCGTTGAGGAGGGCGCGACTAGGGGGGTCCCAGGTCAGCTTTATAGAGGTAGCGTTAGCTGACCCCTCCACGTTCTGGGGGGCGCCCATTGGTACTGAAACATTCATGTTTGTATGTACATACATAGTGTTGTATACACGAGAGGTAATGTTGGAACGGGTGCCGAGTTGTGTCCCCTCCCTGTACATGGATCCGTTGATCATTGTTTCGAAGGCCATCCTCGCCCTGTTTATGTTCCTTGGAATTTTAGCATCACACTAGACTAACATCTAGTCTCTGAGATGAACATAATTTACTGTAAAAACAGTTGTTAAATTATAATTATAACATAGAGTAGATTGGAACCAAGAGACTTTCTTCATTTTCCTGATACTGCAGTAACCTAGACTTGCCAAATATTATAGACTTGCACTGGCTGTATTGGATATATTTCTTTCAGAGTCTAGTTGACAGACTAGCACTAGTCCTTGTTTTCATAACAGTGAAACCTTTTTGGCATCAAACTGACACGCTTTGCTATAACTGAGAGTTAGGCTATTAGTCAGTAATGTTATATAACAGGTAAGGGGACAGCTGAGCACCTTGAGGTCCACTTGTGGTCTCTTTTTAAGGTCCCCCTGTAATGTTTCGCAAAAGGTCTTACCTTAAAATCTAACCTTGAGATCTCATTTGAGATCTAACCTTGAGCGCTAACATTAAATATCACCTTGGTTCTCACCTTAAGATCCACTTGATGATCTCTCTTCACATCTCACCTTGAGGTCTCGTTTGGGACCGCCTTGGGGTCTCACTTAATACATACCATTGAGGTATCACTTAAACTATCACCTTAAGGTCTCAGCTTAAGGTGATTTTGAGGTACTCTCTTAAGATCTCACCTAGAGGTCTCACATGAGGTGTCACCTTGAGTTCTCACCTTAAAACAACATTGAGGTTTTCTCTTAAGATCGCATCTTTAGGTTTTGTTTTTGGAGCACCTTGAGGGCTCACTTGAGATCTCACCTTGAGGTCTCACTTTAAGAGCTCGCTTTTTGACCACCTTTAGGTCACACTTGAGGTCTTAAGGTGCTAATTGGGAGATGTTCCACAGAAATGGTTTCGACATACCAAACGTCTTTTACGACAACCATGGGATACATGAGCACCACGGGGCCTGCGTATTACGGGATTGAACATAGCAATACAACCACGTGATATTACCTCCTTCCGGAATGTCGAGCGCTGCTCTGATTGGCTCACTCATCCCGGCTTGGTTCATAGCTCTCACTTCGAACTCGTAGCGCAAGCCTCGATCTGAAAGATGTTGATGCACTCTATATGTACATGTACCTTAACTGCCATCTTTGCATCTTACTCTACACAGGCGCAACCACTGTCTACAGTCGTCTGTAATAATAGTAGAATATAGTTCTTTCTCTAATACTTCGTTCAAACAGTGCCACACGTTGCAGGGATGACCCAGTGGATTGGAAGCCACAACTCGCTGTGCTGAGATGCGTATTTGCCAGGATCCGCAGACGTTGGGCTTAACTTCTGATTCGCCAAACTATAATCCCTGTTCTGAAGTACGTGTAGGCTTCACCTGAGGGATAAACGCCAACAAGCCTCGTCACCGAAACACGGTTTCTTAACGAGTTGAGCCATTACCAGCTTACAGAACCATGTTTTCATGCACATGTTTGGTGTATGTATTAATTTTCAGAAAAATCCAAATTCTCGTCTGATGATAATAATTTCAAGAGTTCAAGTACGTTTCCTAGTTATTGAAATGCACACTGCACTGCAACAACCACGGAGATGACAAGGAATCTGAGACCTGTGAAGATCCGGGGTAGAATAGGTCTTCAACAGCCCATGCTTGCCTTAAAAGGCGACTATGCTTTTCCTAAGAGACGACTAACGGGATCGGGTGCACGTGGTCAGGCTCGCTGACGTGGTTGATGCATGTCATCGTATCCCAATTGCCTAGATCGATGCTCATGATGTCAATCACTGGATTGTCTGGCCCAGACTCGATTATTTTCAGACCACCGTCACATATCTGGAATATTGCTGAGTGCGGCGTTAAACAAAAAAACAAAAACAAAAAAACCAATGGAGGAGATGCGCACTCACACAAAGCCTTGGTCTCGAAGACAAGCTGGTTTGCCGGCAGCAGTTTCTTGTACGTGTCCCCCGCGCCAGTGGACCATGCAACCTCGTAGCCGGTGATGTCTCCGTTAGGCTTATGGGGTGACATCCAGACGAGGCGGACGCGGTAGGGGGAGCGAGAGACGGGATTCACCGCTAGACGCTGGGGGCTGGACGGGACTGGTAACATAGATAGAGACTCTGGTATAGATATGTCAATCTGGAAACAGCCTACAGTGTATAGCTATGTGTTGTGTGTGAGAGGTGTTCACGCAAATTCATTGCACTCAGACGTATTGCCCCGAGATGACACATCTCTGCATGAAGATATAAAAAACGGCACTTGACCTTATAATCAACCCATCTGCGTTGAAGCTTCTAAATTCACTGTACAAGCGAGCGAAGGATTCAGAGCAGAATATCTTATTTATGTTTCTCGAAAGCGAATACAAACGGGCAGTCCGAGAGGATATTAATAATGACCGCGCTATATATGTTGTAGATATTTATACACAATACCGTTTCTGAGGTAAAGAAATTGACCGAATCGGGTCAGAAAACTGACATCCCATTTGCTAAAGAAACCACTTCATTTCGATTGACGCGACCTGCAAAGGAGTTGACTCAGATCTTCAAGCAGATTGGTATCGTATAGGAGAAAACGATCTGATTTTAATGAGATTATGTGTTTATGTATACGGTCCGTTTAGATCTTTGTAAAGGGTTGTGCCGTACGGTTCAAGTCATGTACATGGCCAGTATGCTGGAGTTGTATTTAAGAAATAATCGACGAGTGGGAGTCGCCCCCCTGGTTTATTCTCCCTTCAGTGTTTAATTGTAAGATAAACAACGACCACGAGTCGTTTATTTCTTATATGAAATATCAACATTCTGTTCAGCCTCTTTAAGGGCGTTTAAAAATATTTACCCATTTTTTTAAAATGATGACTCCCGGAATAGAATCCGACCTCGGAAATGTCGGACAATAATATTTTACGGTGGGTAAAGTTTAGCATACCCCGCATATTCTCACAATCCTCACGTCGATTATCTGTACTTTTTCTCCTAATACCGATTGTCATATCTCTACCACTTTTGGATGCGATCGTTCTGCCATCGCGTTTATCTGCGCATGCGTAGCCCCGCTACAACTATGGGGAAGAACATTCGTCACCACTCGTTTCCGTAACCTGTCCCGGAATAACACGAGTTGGTCACGAATGTGGGGAAGAACTTACTAGACACTTCCCTCTCAAAGACAACGTCGTCCAATATATGACGTCATCAAGTTGCGAGCGCATATTCGAATCTCCCGAAATGACGTCATGATAGAACAATGTTTTATCGTGAAATAAACCACGCTTCGTTCTTCATTGTTCCTTGCGATATATCGCGTAGCTATATTATATTACACAATATCGCAAAGACAAGTTCCCTATGTTCCCTACTGTGACGTATCAATGCGGAAACATATTGCTTTATCGACCCGTGAAGATCCGGGGTAGAATAGGTCTTCAGCATCCCATGCTTGCCATAAAAGGCGACTAACGGGATCGGATGGTCAGACGCGCTGACTTGGTTGATACATGTCATCGTATCCCAATTGCGTGGGTCGATGTGCATGATGTCAATCACTGAATTGTCTGGTCCAGACTTGATTATTTACAGACCACCGTCATATAGCTGGAATATTGCTGAGTGCGGCGTTAAACAACAAACAAACAAACATACTGCTTTATCACCTGTTTGATGTTATTTACCTCTACCTTGTCAATATAAGAATCAGAGTAGTATGTGTATGCAAGGCATTACTGTATGACTTTGATCATGTCTGGAGCGTTCGTTCATGTGGATGTAGGTGTCTGCATGTGCAAGGCGAATATTTTCCTGATGGTTTTTGTTGTGTGTGTAAGTACTAGTAAAGCGTGGGGATATGTTTAAAGAGCACTGCTTGAAATATGTATGCGTGTATCTGAGTAATATAAGGTAGAGTAGGTCTTCAGCAACCCATGCTTGCCGTAAAAGGTGACTATGCTTGTCGTAAAAGGCGACTAACGGGATCGGGTAGTCAGGCTCGCTGACTTGGTTGATGCATGTCATCCTATCCCAATTGCGTGGGTCGATGTTCATGATGTAAATCACTGGATTGTCTGGTCCAGACTCGATTATTTACAGACCGCCGTCATATAGCTGGAATATTGCTGAGTGCGGCGTAAAACAACAAACCAAACCAAACCAAACCAAACCAAACCAAACAAGTTAAGGAAGTTAGATACCGATTTAACATACCTACGTTTCTCGACTCTCCTCTTCTGGACCCAAACCCGGACCCCGGGGCGAGACCTGTGATGACCCGCACACAGGTGCCCCCTGAGGAGACGCTGCTGGTCCTGAGGGTGTTGCACTGGGGGACCAGTTCATCGCCTGGGGGGTAACCAGGACAACTTACTACCATACACCCTTGTGTAGTCGCAAACGTAGTCTTTATGACGGTTCAAATGTAGACCAGTTTGTCCATTATGCTGTTCAGATACTCATAATGCATTATATGTTATATTATGCAGACCTGTTAGAATTCAGCAACCCATGCTTGTCGTAAGAGTGAGTGAGTGAGTTTATGCTTTACTTCACATCGGCATATTTCAGCCATATCGTGACGAGCTTGTCGTAAGAGGCGACTAACGGGATCGGGTGGTCAGGCTCACTGACTTGGTTGATGCATGTCATCGTATCCCAAATGTTTGCCCGATACCTACCGACGAGGGGGTTGGCTCTGACGAGCGCCAACTCATCCCGGCACTGCGAGTCCATGGAGTAGCAGTCCTCCCTGCAGACAGCCCGGGGGGTGGGGACGTTGCCGATCGCTGTACAGGGGGGGAACGCTGTGTAGCACACGGTCTGTAAGGCCAGGTTGGCACACCTCTGATTCAGGCGGTTGCCTATGTATGTCACGGCAGCTGGAAGAGCCAATACAGTGTTCATGATACATCTAGTTAACTATCGCTATTTCAACTTGGTTATCTGGAAATAGTCGCTGACGTCGACTCATGGCGATACTTGCGTAGTTATTAGAACCAGCTGGGCGGAATACTCATCACGGAGTTCAGAATGCAATTAAAATACACACTGATCAGTTTTCAGGGGTTATGATGACATAAGCTTTGAGCATACGTAGATATTGTCATGCGCTCTTAACATACGAGGGGTGGTCATTAAAGATTTCCCCTGACCCACTTCCGATGGACCTAGTGGGATGGAACTTGGCATAGGTATTAGTCTTTCTCCACATAGGAACCACCAAGAGTTACACACTTCTCCCATCGTTTTATGCAACTATGGAGACCTCGCTTGTAAAAGCCCTCATTTTGCGTCTCAAACCAGGACTTGACTTCAGAAATCAGTGTATCATCATCTGTGAAACGTTTTCCCTTCAAAAATTACTTCATGGTTGGAAAGAGGTGGAAGTCAGATGGTGCAAGGTCAGGAGAGTAAGGAGGATGTGAAAGGATTTCATAGCCACAGGACCGCGCTTCTGTCTGGGCAACATGAGAGTTGTGTACTGGAGCATTGTCCTGCAGGAGACGGACATCCTTGGTCAGCATGCCACGCCTCTTAAGCTTGATAGCGTCCCGCAATTTCCGCAGCAGTGAAGCATGATAAGCTCCTGTAACTGTGGTACCCTTTGCCAAGAAATCCATCATCACTACTCCGTGCTGGTCCCAAAACACTCCACATGCTTCCATTGCATCGACTGAACTTTAGTCTCAGGATCATAGTGATGGACTCATGTCGTTCTGACGTGACCCGTAATGGGATGTCCTCAGATCTTTGTTTAGCGGTAGCGAGAACTAAGATCTGATTTTAATGAGTGCCAGACTGCTGTGCTCACTAAAAATGCAAGTCTTTATTTCAGCAAGAGAGTGTAATGGACCTATGCTATAACGGCTACCGACGTTAACTCTTACCTATGACCCGCTCTTCTTTCTGGGACTGCTCGAACCGGGATTTTACGAAGACGCTCTTATTGCGCAGATACCGGGAGCAGATGGTTCCCAGATAGATCTGACAGAAGCCAGTGGCTGGCGGTTGCTCTCTGAAAGAACACGGAAAGGGGACATAACTCTATTGTGTTCGGGTTCACTCGAATCGGATCGGCTCGGTTCGGTAATATCGACCAAACTTGGAGCAGTCAGTATTGAAACGTGTTTCGTGAGACTTAGTTGTGAGATTAATATTGAGATTTAAACAGTTTGCATTTGAATTTTTTCTTAAATTCAAAGTAAATACTTAATTCAGTAATGTACTAATCGGGACAAGTGTAATGATTGAAACACGTCCATAGAATGTCTTCACATTCATTTAAAGACCTTTGACATCGGTATAAAAGTAGGGAATATGATTTACCTTTCCTCTGTTCTACCACGAACTACATCTGGAAATAGATGGTATAACATATATCAAGAAATGCGACAAAGACATGTGCGTGTGATTACCAAAATCATGATGCTTTAATGAATACTTCTTTATTGTTTGGGGGCACGGGTGGCCCAGTCGTCTAAGGCGCCGCGATTCGCTGTGCAGAGTTGCGTCCCTTTGGCACGCCAAGACCTATGATTGTGGGTTCGAATCCCGGTTCGCCCCGATTATGTTTCTAGGTTTGTCAGCACCATATCCGTGCTCGTGGGTTTCACCGAAGTGGTAAACGTCTTAGACCTGCATCACTTCGGGCTTTCCTCCCACATTAAGCTGACACGCCGTGATATAACTGGAATACTGATAAAAGCGGCGTTAAACCCAACTCACTCACTCATTCTTTATTGTTTGTAAGGACGTTACAGGGCTACTTCAAGAGAATACTGAGTAAACATTTTGTTTGTTTGTTGTTTAACGCGGCACTCAGTAATATTCCAGCTATGCGACGGCGGTCTTTAATTAATCGACTCTGGACCAGACAATACAGTGATTGACATCATGAGCATCGATGTAGGCAATTGGGATACGATGATATGCATCAACTACGTCAGCGAACCTGACCACCCGATCCCGTTAGTCGCTTCTTTCGACACCCTATATATATCGAACCCCGTTATCCCGAACCTAGCGGGACCGTGTTGTAACTTAGAGATTCCGGATATTCGAGATAACGAGGCATGAACACGAGGCGGTCTGGGGCGGAGAACAGGTTCGTACGGTGGCCCATAAGGGACATGGAGTCTGTTTTTCAATATTTTGATGTTTAACTTACTTTTATCTTGACCTTTTGCAAATTAACACAATCTGCCATACAAATATGTGATAAATCATGTATAAAAACATCCGAAAACATAGAAAATGTACTTTAAGTAGCTTCTGTGTCGCTGAAATGTGAAGTGAAAATGTCCAAAACTAAAATGGAAATGTCAAAAACCATAACGAAAAGGTCAAAAACTAAAATGAAAATGTCAAAAACACAAAACGAAAATGTCAAAAACTAAAATGAATACACAGAAAACTATTTCCACCGCGGTGTAAATATTATCACCGCGGTGGGAATATTTACACCGCGGTGGAAATAGTTTTCTGTATTTTCATTTTAGTGAAAGGTGAAAACTATTTACATCGCGTTTTGTGTTTTTGACATTTTCATTTTAGTTTTTGACATTTTCGTTTCGTTTTTCAGCGATTCAATATCTTCTTTACACATGATTTATCACATATTTGTAAGACAAATCGTGTTAATTTGCAAAAGGTTACGATAACAGTAAGTGAAATATCAAAATATTGAAAAACAGACTCCGTGTCCCTTATGGGCCACCGTAGGTTCGAGATATCGTTGCATTCGAGATATCGGTACATTCGAGATAACGAAAGGGGTTCGATTTTATATATATTTACAAACTCAATACCTCACTCAGTATTCACCTAATAAAGGGGCAAGAAGCAGCCCTGAAACGTCAATAAACAATAAAGAAGTTATTATTCATAAAAGTGACGCGTCTTTATGTTCTTCTAAATGCCTACAAAGACAAATGTTTACCAGTGCAAGAGATACCAGTTGGAAGACGTCTTCAAGTAATTGAATATTGCAATGTCAGAATAGGAGCATTGTAGAAACAAATTGAATATATTAAAATACTTTAAACTGTGTCTTCGTTAGTCTAAAACTCACTCTCTGTTGTCTCGGTTGTCATAGCCTCGCTCTGAGATCCTTCCCCAGCAGGACCAAATCCAGACACCCGGATGCGGTACTTCCGGTTCCTTTCTAATCCATTTATTGTCAACTGTTGTCCTGCTGGGAGTGCGTTAGTCTCGAATTTAAACTCCGATTTCCACTTCCCTTTATTCAACACTTCGACATACAGATAGTACCCGTGTATGTTGCCGGCGTTAGGCCCAGTGTCTGCGCGGGAAGGCCGCCACTTGACTGAAACGGAAGTGACGTTGATGGCGCTGACTTCATCCATTACAGGAGGACTTGGCAGAGTCACCGATCCGGATCTTTTCGGATTGACCTGACCCATGTTTTCGTCGATCCTCGGCGTTTCCACGACCAGCTGGTCACTCTTTAACCCTTCTCCATTCTCAGAATAGGCGCTGACAGTAACGCGGTACCTTGACTTTGGTTTTAGAGAACTTATTATAAACAGCTGACCCTCTGGGGGAATATTGGTTTGATATCTGGACTCCGGGATCCAGGTGGAGCCTGCCATCCGCTCAATGTACACGTAATACCCCTTGATCTCCCCTTCAGGCATTTCTTCATCTGGAGGCCACCATGTGACGAGGATGGACGTGGCATTCATAGCAGTCACCTCTTCAAGGTACGGGGCGCGGGGGAGGAAGTCAGGAATGGGGGTGGTCACTACCTCCCCTGTAGTGGACCCTGTCATGGGTTCACTCTTTGGTCCCTCCCCGTCGCTGTTGTACCAAGCCACCTCCACGCTGTACTTCGTTCCCGGGGACAGCTGTCCCATGGCGATCTCGTGGTTGGTGCCGGGTCTGACGTCCATGATGTAGCGCACAGTGGAGTCCCAGGGACCAGCTTTGACCTTCTCAATGTACACGAAGTAGCCTTTAGGGTCCACATTACCGGCGAAGGGCGAAGGTCTCCATCGGATGAAAAGGGATGTTTGATTGACGCCGGCAACTTCTTCCAAAATAGGGGCCTGAGAATCTGAAAATGGTCTTTACATAATTCTTCAGAACCTTTTTAAATAATACTAATACTACTACTAATAATAATAATGATGATGATGATGATGATGATGATGATGATAATTATCATAATAGTTTGCTTATGAAGAGCACAGCACCATTCGCAATGTACACTCGAAGCGATGCATTATTACCTGGATCAATGGACCACAGTGCACTCGGTTTTTCATTCTCAGCTCCCTGGGAAGTGTACAACCCTAAATGAGCCTAACTGGTCAATATTGTAAATATCAATTGGTTTTTTTTGTCATGTCATGTTCACACAATTCCCTAGTGAAAATTTCGGGGATGACATTGGCTATGCTAGTGATAAGATCAAATCGAGAATGACGATCGGGTGATTACAATGTGTGCCTGGCCTATTGTGTGTAATCTTTAACTGTAGCCTAGTGGCTAACAACTAGGCTAGGGGTAGCCTCGTGGTTAAAGCGTCCGCTCGTCACGCCGAAGACCCGGGATCGAGTCCCCACATGGACAAAACGTGTGAAACCCATTTCTGGTGTCACCCGCCGTGATATTGCTGGAATATTGCTAAAGGCTGCGTAAAACCAAACTCACTCACTCACCAAACTGTCGTCGTGACAATCCATAATTGGCACCAGTGGTTCTCCTGTGGTTGATTAGTGACAGGCAGTCGAGATAGGACTGAAATATTTCTAAACCGGCGTGGGGGGGCGGTCGGGTAGCCTAGTGGTTAAAGCGTTCGCTCATCACGCCGAATCTCGACATGGGAACAATGTATGAAGCCCATTTCATGTGTCCCCCGCCGTGATATTGCTGGAATATTGCTAAAAGCGGCATAAAACCATACTCACTCACTAACTAAACCGGCGTTAAACAAGATTCACTCACTAACTCACTTAACCGGCGTTAAACAAGACTCACTCACTCACTCACCTCTGGAGTTGGTGGACACAAACAGTGGGTCAGAGCTGGGCCCATCCCCCTGATCTGTGATGCCGGACACCCTGACACTGTACCTGGTGTCCGCTGTCAGCCCCTCCACCACCGCCTGACGGTCGTCACGATCCACACTCACTCGTCGACTCTCGCGACGTCGCTGGTTGTCGACGGACACAACGTACCCCTGAATCAACTGCAGCTGCGGAGATTCAGAAGGAGGGGTTTCCCACGTGACCATGATCGCGGTCGAGTTCAAGGGAGATAAGTCTGTTATAGTTGGAGCCTCTAAAACTGCGATGAAAAATATCAATGAAATGTTAGATATACATGATATAAGATGTTACCGGAAAATGCCGACGGAATCTTGTGTTCTATAATAGTCTCGCGGAACAGTGATCGGACGCTCGTCAGTTTTGGTTTTTTTAATTGTCTCTGATGCTTTCAAATGTTTTATTTGTTTATTTGTTGTTTAACGCCGCACTCAGCACTATTCCAGCTGTATGACAGCGGTCTGTAAATAATGGAGTCTGGACCAGACAATCCAGTGATTGACATCATGAGCATCGATCCACGCAATTTGGATACGATGACATGCATCAACCAAGTCAGCGAGCCTGACCACCCGATCCCGTTAGTCGCCTTTTACGACAAGCACGGGTTGCTGAAGACCTATTCTACCCCGGATCTCCAAGTGGTTGCTACACTTGGTTTGAGACATGTAGTTAAAACAGATAATGTACCGCCAATTAAACAGTAAGAACACAGTGTCCCTTGAGGATATGAAGATTAGTTCTTATCATGAAAGAAATACAAATACTCATGTGTATCGGCACTGGATGCATTGTTCAACTCTTCGACGTTAATTTCAAGCGACACACGAATATAATTATGTTTCAACCTCCTATTTCTAATCAAATAATGATAGAGCTATCATTGCCGTAAATATATACAAATCATTCGACGGTTTCTTGAAACAGGGACCGCCTCCGATGTCTAGTGGTAGAGCGTCCGCCCGAAGAGCGGAAGGTCCGGGGTTCGATCCCCGGCCGCGTCAAACCAAAAGACGTTAAAAGATGACACTTGTTGTTATCCTGTCTTGCGCACGGCATTAAGGGGCTAAAACAAGGACTGGTCGGCTCGGAGTCAGTATACTGTGTGTGAGTGGGGTATTCATGTTAAACTGCGGCATGGTATCTCAGTGAGCTAGCACTATAAATCGGCATCAGTCCGTACTAGTACAAGCAGCCACACAAACACACACGCGTACATGCACGTCGCTATATAAGTGCAATAATCTTGGACGCGACGTTAAACCCCATTTCACCTCACCACCTTGAAACAAGTACAAGCTTGCGCTGAGACAACAGGTTGCAATCGTCTACATCTCAATGACTACTATCGAAATACTCAGGAAATATGATGATGCTTACCGAAGCTGGGGAGTCTGATACTCATGGGTTCGGTTTGTGGTCCCACGCCATACTTGGTCCTACGGGCGATCCTGACGACATACCCGCCCCCAGGTAGGAGGCCACTGAGGACGTAGGAGTTAGCTGCCCCTGTGATGCGGATCTGCTCCTGGTAATCATTGCCGTCGTCGATGGACAACTCGTACCCCTCCGTCGGCTCCACGCTGACCGGGTTCTTCCAGTAGATCTTGACGCTGGACGGGCTGAGTATCTCCCCCTCCAGGTTGCTGACACGGAGCTGGATCTCTGCAACGACAAACATTGATCTTGATAGTCGCGAAACTGTTCACAACATTACGGTGAATTTAAATGATTGTTGTGCAAAACTGTTTTGCGTTACACCGAGCATTTTTCAGCTTTATCATTGCGACATTTAGATGAGTTTCGAGGGGATGTCAGTTGATCCAGGGACGTCAGCAGCTTCTGGCCCCACTTGCACAAAGCGCTAGACCTTAGCGCTAAGATGATCGCAACTCCCATACCTTAACATAGGCTTACGATAGTCTTAGCGCTAAGACCGCTTTGCGCAAGTGGTCCCTGGTCAACACTCAAGACCATGCTCTTAAAAAGAGCATACGTCTGAGCTCTCTTGAGCAGAGTGTGTCTGGATAAGATGCGATATATATATATTTCTTAAATCTATTGATAAAATATCGATTCAGTTTACATATCAAGGATCATAATCAAGTAGAATGCGGCATCACTGTATCCTGGATGCTATTTGACACTGATCTTGTGATTCTCAATCCTAAAGAACATCTGGATAGCTTGGTGTCCATCTTCCCGAGGCAAGAGAGTTCACTGACTATTAATGTCCAGTTTCCACCCTTGCCGAACTAGGATGGAATTATGGAGTTACATTTTGGCTGGACTAACGAGTCTATGCATAGTCCAATCAATATCTCGCAACGAAATCGAAATCCGGTTCGTAAACTGTCGTGCAGATTTCGGTCGATTGCAGGATTTGCAAAGAATGTGAACCGCCAACTCGTTGTCAAAAGATATTTTCCAAACCTTTTCATGTTTATAATCAAGGTGCTCGCGTGATTTGGTGCACTTCGCGATGTAAGACCCGTTTTATAATCATATAGATCTTGACTATCGATCAGATCGTCTTGACTTGGCGCCGCCATTCTGTTTGAAACAAATGCAAGTGATGGAATCTGATTGGTCCATAGGAGAGGTTTAGAAGGGATATAACTCATGTAACAACTGGTGGCGCTACTATCGAGCCCAGGAATTCCAGCCTAGTTCAGCAAGGGTGGAAACTGGACTTTTATTGTCAGATAACTCTCTTGCCTCGGGAAGATGATTGGTGTCCCGTAAAGGGCTCATATGAAACACACTCTGAAGTGAAATATCTCAAGTGATGGAGTGATTACATGACATAGCCAACCAACAAGCAGCTTTCTCGAGCTTTATGACACTGGTTTCAAACACGGGACTTCCGATCCAGACTACGCTTTGAAAATATATCATTCACACTGAACAAAAGAAAATTATGTTTGTCTAATAGATGGCCAAGATTGCATAGGAGGACTTCCAACGGGCTGTGGGAGGTGTCTTCCGTTTCAAATGTTTATCCCATTGAAGCGAGAGATATAATATGATTTTAACGGAATCAATTTACAGCTGATTTTTTCTGAATATCCCGTGTTAACCTTTTCAAATTTGCATAATTAGAAAACATATTCTGACCGTCACTTTTCCGATCTGGTAAACGATGTTCTAATTGTTCAAATCAAAGGTCGTTCTGACCTAACGCGTAATTGGAGGTCCTCAGGTTATTGTTTATCGGTACCAAGAACTAAGACCTGATTTTATTGAGATTAATTGTCTTCCCACCATCAGCTGAAGAATCTTTGATAAACAATTCGATGTCGTTGGATTCAACTCTCTGGCCGTCGTTGTAGGTTGCCTGTATTCTGAAGGTGTACGTAGCGAACTGGCTCAGGCCCCGGATAAGAGCTGATGTCTGGTCACGTGGTACAGACATGTTGTTCCAGTACTGGATAGGAGCGGAAGGGTTGATGGTGTAGAGGACACGGTATTCCTTAAACAGAGGAGAGTTAGTGAGTGAATTGGTTGTTACGCCCACAGTTGGAGTAAGTGAGTGTGTTGGGTTTAACGCCGCTTTTAACAATATTCCAGTTATATCACGGCGTGTCAGCTTAATGTGGGAGGAAAGCCCGAAGTGATGCAGATCTCAGACGTTTAACACTTCGGTGAAACCCACGAGCACGGGTATGGTGCTGACAAACCTAGAGTGAGTGAGTGAGTTGGGTTTAACGCCGATTTTAACAGTATTCCAGTTATATCACGGGTATGGTGCTGACAAACCTAGAAACATAATCGGGGCGAACCGAGATTCGAACCCACAATCATAGGTTTCTGGCATGCCCAAGGGACGCAACTCTGCACAGCGAATCGCGGCGCCTTAGACGACTGGGCCACCCGTGCCCCCACAGTTGGAGGTTTACCAATAGTGAGACGTTACACAAACAGTCAGGTTCCAACTTACCTGTAGAGATTCCACATCATCGATTTCGGCAGGTACCAACTTACCTGTGGAGTGCTGGGGTAGCCGAGTGGTTTAAATGCACGCTCGCCGCTAAACCGGGTTCGATTCCCCACATTGGTACAATGTGTGAAGCCCATTTCTGGTGTCTCCCGTCGTGATATTGCTGGAATATTGCTAAAAACGGCCTAAAACAATACTCATTCCTCCAATATACTACGGCATATTCCAGCTTACCTGTAGCGCTTCTGTATCATCTACTACGGCCGGTTCCGACCAGCTTATCAGACCCCCATCGCGCATCACCAGCCTCGCTTTCACATTATGGGGAGCGGCACGTGAAACTGGAAACGGGAATTTGAAAAGTTCTTGCATACTGATGTACAATAGTCTAGGAAGCACGGGTGGCCCAGTAGTCTAAGGCGCCGCGATTCGCTGTGCAGAGTTGCGTCCCTTGGGCAAGCCAGAAACCTATGATTGTGGGTTCGAATCCCGGCTCGCCCCGATTATGTTTCTAGGTTTGTAAACACAATACCCGTGCTCGTGGGTTTCACCGAAGTGGTAAACGTCTGAGACCTGAATCACTTCGGGCTTTCCTCCCACATTAAGCTGACACGCCGTGATATAACTGGAATACTGTTAAAAGCGGCGTTAAACCCTACTCACTCACTCCCTTACTACAATAGTCTCACAATAAACGAGTCATGAGTATTCATATTACCTGCACATTTATCATGGTAATATTGCATTAGTTAGTTTTCTGTCTGGTCTTGTCATGATACTTGCCACAAAGCATTATATTTTTCAATCTCGACTTAAAAACTCTCGAAAAATCCTTACCCTTCTTCCGAGTGTAGAACTTCTCACTTGGTTCCCCCTCGGGCCCTGCTCCCTGCGAGTTTTTAGCGGTCAGTCTGACCTGGTGGCACGTGCCGGGCTTGAGGCCGCTGACCACTACTTCTTGAACACCGCCACTAACTATGACGTCATGAGCCGTGTTCTCGTGCCAGTCTTTCTTGCACTTCCTGGAACAAAGTCAGTGATAACGTATAACAGCGTGTAGCCCTCGGGAACGTATCAGGGTGATGTTGTACATAACAACCTAAGCGCTATACGACTGTCTATGTAAAAGTATGGGAATTACGATCACCATAGCGCTATACGACTGTCGTAAGTCTATGTTTAAGTATGGGAGTTACGATCGTCTTAGTGCTATACGACTGTCGTAAGTCTATGTTTAAGTATGGGAGTTACGATCGTCTAAGTGCTATACGACTGTAGTAAGTCTGTGTTAAAGTATGGGAGTTACGATCGTCTTAGAGCTGTACGACTGTCGTAAGTCTATGTTAAAGAATGGGAGTTACGATTTCCTTTGTGCTATACGACTGTCGTAAGTCTATGTTAAAGTATGGGAGTTACGAGCACCCTAGCGCTATACGACTGTCGTAAGTCTATGTTAAAGTATGGGAGTTACGAGCACCCTAGCGCTATACGACTGTCGTTAGTCTATGTTAAAGTATGGGAGTTACGATCGTCTTAGCTCTGACAACGGCACCGAGGACATCAACCTGAAGTTTTATAGATTTGGCCATCTCGTCTATCTGTACCTGATCAGTGTGAGTATATCAGTGTGAAACTATCAAGTATATCCCTTTAGTATATCAGGATGTAGTTAAAGAGCTTATCCCTTAAGTATACCAGTGCTCAAAATATTTTTTCTCTATGCATGTAGCTGTTTTTAATATATCAGTAGTATTTCAGCGTGTAGCTATAGAATATATATCACTAGTGTATCAACATGTAGCCGCATAATACATCATTAGTATATCAGCATGTAGCTGTAGAATATATCATTAGTATATCCGCATGTAGCTTTAGAGAATAGCATAAGTATTCCAGCATGTATATATAGAGTATATATCATTTGTGTATCAGCATTTAGCTATAGAATATATATCATAAGTATATCAGCATTTAGCTATAGAATATATATCATTGGTATATCAGCATTTAGCTATAGAATATATATCATTGGTATATCAGCATTTAGCTATAGAATATATATCATTGGTATATCAGCATTTAGCTAAAGAATATATATCATTGGTATATCAGCATTTAGCTATAGAATATATATCATTGGTATATCAGCATTTAGCTATAGAATATATATCATAAGTATATCAGCATGTAGCTATAGGATATATATCATTAGTATATCAGCATGTAGCTATAGAGTATATATCATTAGTATATCAGCATGCAGCTATAGAATATATATCATAAGTATATCAGCATGTAGCTATAGAATATATATCATAATCATATCAGCATGTAACTATAGAATATATATCATAAGTATATCAGCATGTAGCTAAGGAGTATATATCATTAGTATATCGGCATGTAGCTCTAGGGTATATATCATTAGTATATCATCATGTAGCTATAGGGTATATATCATTAGTATATCAGCATGTAGCTATAGAGTTAATATCATTAGTATATCAGCATGTAGCTATCGAATATATCATTAGTATATCAGCAAGTAGCTATAGAATATATCATTAGTATATCAGCATGTAGCTATGGAATATACCATTAGTATATCAGCATGTAGCTATAGAGTTAATATCATTAGTATCAGCAAGTAGCTATAGAAAATATCATTAGTATATCAGCATGTAGCTATAGAGTATATGTCATTAGTATATCAGCAAGTAGCTATAGAAAATATCATTAGTATATCAGCAAGAAGCTAAAGAAAATATCATTAGTATATCAGCAAGTAGCTATAGAAAATATCATGAGTATATCAGCATGTACATGTAGAAATAGAGTTTATAGTGTATCAGCATGCAGCTATGTATGACACAGTACCTGACGTGGATGATGAAAACGGTAATGGGGGAGATGCCCTCTTTGTTTGCGTCCGCCCAGCTCACCGTCGCTGTATCTTGACCGACGTTGGTCACGTTGGGCTGTCCCGGCGCCGCAGGCACCGCTGGTAAAACAAACATAAGAAAAGTACAGGTCATCGACGTGAGGATTATGAGCAGGAAATATTAACCTGTGCATAAAATTGGCTTGTCTGACATTGCCAGGTCGGATTCTATCCCAAAGTGGGAGAGATATCATAATGACAATCGGTATTGGGAGAAAAGGTGCTCATTATCGACGTGAGAAATTGTGAGAATATGCGGGAAATACGATACTTTACCTCTATGTTCATAATATGGAGGTCGGATTCTATTCAGGGAGTCATCATTAATAAAATACGGGTAAATACGTTTAAAGCTTTGATCAACATCCTTAAGGAGGCTGTACAATTTGGCTATCTCATCTAAGAAATATACCACTCGTGGTCGTTGTTTATCGTACAATAAAACACTGCAGGGAGAATAAACCACAAGGGATGCGCCCCTCATGGTTTATTCTCCCTGCAGTGTTTTATTGTACGATAAACAACGACCGCGAGTCGTTTATTTCTTAAATATCTCACAATAGTTCACTATATAGTCTATATCTCACAATACCTCACACTGTCTCACGATCGGTCACAATATATCAGTATTTCAAACATATCGCCAAAAACAAAGTCTACACATTGCCTCAAAACGAAAGGACCCGTGAAGATTCCGGGGTAGAATAGGTCTTCAGTAACCCATGCTTGCCGTAAGAGGCGACTATGCTTGTCGTAAAAGGCGACTAACGGGATCGGGTGGTCAGGCTCGCTGACTTGGTTGATACATGTCATCGATCCAAATTGCGTCGATCGATGCTCATGATATCAATCACTGGATTGTCTGGTCCAGACTAAATTATTTACAGACCGCCGTCATATAGCTGGAATATTGCTGAGTGCGGCGTTAAACAACAAACCAACCAACCAAATCAAAACGAAAGAGCAAAGTCCTCATCTTTAAAGAACACGGGCTCTCACCGTCTGGGTCCTCCACGATCACCCGAGCTGTATATTCGATGTTGCCAAGCAGATTCTCTGCAGTACACACGATATTCGTAGACTGCTGAACGTTCTTCAACCTTATGACGTCACGTCCGTTGGCTGGACCCACCCTGTTGATAGGACGGCCATTTTGGACCCATCGTACCAGAGGTACAGGTGAACCAACCGCAGTACACACCATAGTGACGTCATCGCCTATGCGCACGCGTTTATTTTCTGTAGACCTTGTGAACTGTGGTGGAAACTGTCTTCCTGTGATTGAAACAAGAAAATGTATCACTCACCCGCGAGATCACCACTTTCTTAAAAATACACCATTTCAATTAGAGTGTCACAGCATCACGTGCGGACGGAACTTATTTTGGCATCAGCTAGTCATTCGAATGTGGGCGATTCTTCTAACTTAATGATGTTTATATATAATATTTATGTTATTATGAACATAAGGAGGAGAATTTATGAATGTCAACTGCTTTATTAGGTGTGAGTGAGTGAGTTGTGTTTAACGCCGCTTTTAACAGTATTCCAGTTATATCGCGGCGTGTCAGCTAAATGTGGGAGGAAAGCCCGAAGTCATGCAGGTCTAAGACGTTTACCACTTCGGTGAAACCCACGAGCACGGGTATGGTGCTGACAAACGTTGAAACATAATTGGGGCGAACCGGGATTCGAACCCACAATCATAGGTTTCTGGCGTGCCCAAGGGACGCAGCTCTGCACAGCGAATCGCGGCGCCTTAGACGACTGGGCCACCCGTGCCCCCGCTTTATTATGAGGAACAGACATATATATATATATATATATATATATATATATATATATATATATATATATATATATATATATATATATATCCAACAGATAATTGGCGCTGATAGGTGAATAGCCATAGACAATTGGAAGCCAAAACGTAACAGTAAATTAGCGCTGACAGCTGATAGCGATGGACAACTGGAAGCCAGGACTTTAATACTCGCGTATTGTTCCTTATTATAAAGAAGTTGACGTCCATATATTCTCAGCCATACGTATATCCCTTCTAAATGCCCCTCAAATACGTATCATGAACATGATTTTAGAATCGGTTTCATGGTGTTTCTTGTAACCAATCTCGGAGAGAACACTCTTATGTTGTCGCCATACGCCACCCTTATACCAGCAACGATTTCTTTCAACGTTGAGTTTTCAAGTGGGCAATAAATATATGACTGCTACAAACTCACATTCCATTTAGAAAGTGGTCAAATGTGACAAATGTTATATTTGGGATAACACTGTCTTGGTAAAGTACAGTTTCTCGTACTTTTTCTGGGTTGAGTCCCATCCGTTAGATACGTTTGGGAAAAACTCGTAAAACACGGGCAGTTAGTAATCAAGATGTACCAGCAGTAAATACCTTGGATGATATTAACCAAACAAATAGCAAGTGGTTAGGTCACGAAATAGGGGAGAGAAAAAAGAAAATGTAGATGGGCGAGTCTGATTTATAACAGATTTCACAATTATTTCACATAAAGCCTTGAGAGCTCAATGTGACCCAGGTGATGTACATATGTCGCCTCTGAGAAACCTACGAGATTGGGATAGTGCTGATAGACAAGATTCTTCTCAGGGCGAATCCGTGATTCGAACACATAACCAGCGAATCCTGGCACGGTTAAGGGACGTAACTCGACGAAGACCAGTAGGCTCAAGGACGGATGTATTTTGTTGAGTGAAAGTAGGGATTGTTGTCAGTTTATGTGTAATGATTAGCAGTGGCAGCAGATGATTGAATCACTAGTAAAATGTGCTGTCGTAGACAGATTTTAGCGGCAGCCATCGGTCGGCAGCGAGTAAGTTAGAGTTACTGCCTCTGGGTGTTGTTGACAAACATGGCAGACCTGATCGTTCGAGAAGTTTCGTGATGGGGCAGTTTCTGAAAACTGGCCGTACCTATTTAAGACCGACATGTGGACAATTCGAGGCCTTTTACGATCTGAGTTCAGCCTCATCTTGGAAAGTGTAGATGAGATACACCGAATTCCTGCCAGCTCCCAGCAATATTCCGGATTCGGGAACAACCAGCCAAGTTTTTCGACAGTGAAAAATCTGGACATTTCTGACAACACTGGCATATATTCTAGGTCATGCTGCTTCTTGCTTATTTTTCTTGCCATTTTTTTAAAAACATTTTTAGGATTACGGATTTTTCAGCCCAAAGTCCAGGGTTGGAGGAGGGGAAAAAAGCCAGATGCATTTTTTGTAATGCAGAATGTCTCTGGCATACTTTATGAACATATACTGTGCTCAAAAGACCGCCATTTGTGACGATAAAGACAATTTGAGTGTACTGTGATGCTACACAATAAAGATGAAGGCTATGGTGATCTTACCCCGGACGTAGAGGCTGGCCTCTTGGGAGTAGGCTATGCCTGCCTGGTTCTCCACAGAGCACTGGTACACTCCCTCGTCCGTTGTCTCTACACCCGACACATTCAGGGCACTTCTCTGATCTGTAGACAGAGCACAGGGTAGTATATTATACACCAACGGATCTGGTCACCAAGGTAACAAGAAGTGAAAAGCATCGTTATCAGTAGCAGACACTATATATCTATCAACTACCAATGATTGTACGACCAAACCCTATTAATGCGAACGGTGCCGTTTCCAGAACATCGTAAAGATTAGCTAGGTTACGGTTTACGGAATCTTGGTAACGTAGTGATGTGTATGATTATAAAAAGAAGTTCCAAGCAATAGGTATTCGGAAGTGTCCTACTAACCGGGACTGGATGTCCGTGTACATGGATAAAGCGTTCAGATAACTCTCAAGGACATTCCTACAAATCCATGTATACCCATCTTCGACAAGGTGAGGTGAGGTGAAATTGGGTTTAACGTGGCGTCCAAGATTATTCCACTTATATAGCGATGTGCATGCACGTGTATGTGTGTGTGTAGCTGCTTGTACTAGTCCGGACTGATGCCGATTTATAGTGCTAGCTTACTGAGATACCATGCCGCAGTTTAACATGAATACCCCACTCAGACACAGTATACTGACTCCGAGCCGACCAGTCCTTGTTTTAGCCCCTTAATGTCGAGCGCCAGACAGGATAACAACAAGTACAATCTTTTAACGTCTTTTTGTTTGACGCGGCCGGGGATCGAACCCCGGACCTTCCGCTCTCCGGGCGGACGCTCTACCACAAGACCACGGAGGCGGTCTCATCTTCGACAAGACGTAGACAATAACAATGACAGAGCACATGTTTGATAAAATATAGTGGTAATGTTTGTTTGTTGTTTAACGCCGCACTCAGCAATATTCCAGCTATATGACGGCCGTCTGTAAATAATCGAGTCTGGGCCAGAGAATCCAATGATTGACATTATGAGCATCGATACACGCAATTGGGATACGAAGACATGCATCAACCAAGTCAGTGAGCCTGACCATCTGATCCCGTTAGTCGTCTCTTACGACAAGCATAGTCGCCTTTAACGGCAAGCATGGGTTGCTAAAGATTCTAACCTCTAATCTGGATCTTCACGGGTCAGTAGTAATTGTAAGTGCTATCTGACCAATGATACTAGTGTATCGACAGCAACACATCAACGTGACCCCGCTGTGTGGACAATACGTTTACATCCTGTTAAACGACAGTGTATTTTATTGTTAAACAATTATTGTAACTGTATTACATTGTTTCTGTTAAGATTTGATAGAAGCTCATTGTATTTGGACAATGATTAGTTGTCAGGAATGTAGTACTATTGATGTAAGCAGTGGTGAGGCAGTTACTACATTTATGGTTTAATTTTTTAAACATTCTGTCAATATTCTACACCCATACCTTGAATTACTGTTTAATATGATTTTAGAAACATCCTATTTCCCAAAAGAGTGGACTATCGGTGTGATTATTCCACTACATAAATCCGGATCATGTACGGATACAAACAATTATCGAGGAATTACCCTTCTGGGTGTTTTTAGCAAAATATGTGTTTCTATTATCAGTAAAAGGCTCACCTTTTGGTCAAATTCATTAGATAAAATTTCGGAAGAACAAGCAGGTTTTAGACAAGGGTACTCAACTACGGATAATATTTTCGTACTTAATGCGATTATTCACAAATACATGCAGAGAAAAGGTGAAACATTTTATGCTATTTTTTGTAGATTTCAAAAATGCTTTTGACTGTTTTGATTTTTTTCTTGCCCCTTCCTGTTCTGTTTTTTTTTCATCAATGAACTGGCTGCACAAATTACGGCTGGTATACAGCTGTATCCAGATATTGTTTCGATATTTCTGTTGCTTTTTGCTGATGATATAGTTCCGTTCTCTAGTACGATAAAAGGTTTACATAATTTGATAGATCAGCTGGAGCTGTACTGTTCTTATTGTAAACTCCAAGTGAACACTGAGAAAACGAAAGTGTTATTTTTTAAAAAGGGAAATAAACTATCAAATAGGGAAAAATGGTTCTTCAACTCAGAACCGTTACAAATTCTCACTTCTTATAAATATCTGGGGGTAACCTTCACAGGAAGATTATCGTGGAATTACCATACCAGTAATGCAGCAATGCGGGCAAAAATGATGGGAATCATACATAGAATAGAAACTTTCACTGATCTTTCATATGAAACTTTTTTTTAGATATTTGATACGCAAATTACTCCAATTCTTTTATATGGAGCAGAGGTCTGGGATCATGCTGAATACAGAACTATTGAACTGGTCCATCTATATGCTTGTAAACGATTCCTTGGCGTAAAAAACTGTACATCGAGTGTTATGGTATATGGTGAATGTGGACGTGTACCACTTTACATATTTCATCATATTAGAATTATCAAGTATTGATTCAAGATTCTTAAAATGCCTATTGATAGACTATTAGACTATTCCCCAGAATACTATTTGTTTGATATCAATTTTAAAAGGTTCAGAATATATTTAGCACAATTTAGATGCAGCTCTCATAAACTTAGGATCGAAGTAGGCAGACATAGAACAGAGCAAGAGATATGAGAATAAGTGAGCAATATGGTTTAAATGTGATTAGTTTCATTTTCTGTTAGTTTGTCCAAAATACGACCACCTAAGAAGAAAATATATTGATCTGCCTTTTTATGGACATCCCATTCAACAAAAAAATGTATCGATCATGTCAACAATTGATAAAGATACTCTAAAAAAATCTGTCAATGTTCATTTATCATGCTATGTTAATTAGAATATGACCTGTTAAACGGATCTGTAACCACTCCCGAAAACAGAATTGTTCTGTGGGCCTGAGGCCTTTCAGTATGGTATAAAACGTATCCTTGTCCTTATTTTTGATGCTAGTGTAATTGCTAACTTCCAGAATACCGTGGACTGACATAGAACGTTATAGAAATATGTGGAATATTCTGTGATGTGATGGCACTGTGTGGAAATTTCAAGAAGCTAGTTTTGACTGTATAAGGAGAAAAGAGCGTGTCTCTTGTCTCTTTCGCGTTTCATCACATCAAGACCATTGATATCATAGAAACATGTGGAATATTCTGTGATGTGATGGCACTGCGTGGAAGCTAGTTTTGACTGTTGCATCACATCGAGACCAGCTTTCGTGTGAGGATCACTTATCACCCTGGATTCTCCGCCTCGGTCCATCTCGGAGGCTTGACCACTGGGTGATTAATTACATTATTATCACTGACTTTTACTATCACCACTGTTTTTTTATATTTGATACTGACCACTGCCATCATATTGTTGGTTTTTTTTGGGTGTCACACAAAATTCTTTAACATACATATCTGGATTTTACATTTTGTTTCAATTTGGGTATCGACACGAACCAATCCATGCATCGACACCCGCTACTTCACCCCACCTCGACAAATTGACAACTGATGACCCACGACAGTGATGTACACCTAGACCCACCTCCAGGTAATACCGTGTACCGCCCGCCAGTAGAGATGGGGAATTGGTCCTTGTACCAGAGTATGCTGGCGTTTTTCGTGCCTAGAGCCTCGCACTGGAATACAGTGGTCCGCCCTCGCTCCACCGCCCGCAGAGCAGGGTGTTCCGTGATGGCGGGAAAGTCGAACGGGACGGCTGTAACGAAGTGAGAAAGTGGGTTAAACTGTTATGCGAATTGAAAGGTATTTCCCGTTCATATAAACCTTTATTACTTTTATAAAGAAAAAAACCCCTTCAAAACGTGTTATTTCGTCAAGACCTAAGACCCCCTCCGTGGTCTAGTGGATAGAGAGTTTAGACTGGAGAGCGGAAGATCGGTGGTTCGATCCTCTCGGCGCGTCATACAAAATGATGTTTAAAATGTTACTTGTTGTTGCCCTGCCTGGCGCTTTGGAAAAAAGGGATAAAACAAGGAAGGTTGGTCCGGAGTCTTCTATATTCTACAGAATACTGTGTCTCAGAGGGGCATCCATGTTATCTTATCAGCATGTTATCTTAATGGTCTAGTTTTATAAACTGGGCACCCATCAAATTAATGTCCCAAAGGTACATGGAAGTCCGGATCGTTTGACTTAAGGGGTGATGCTCAACAATTTCCCAACCGTAAATTCTCACTCACTGGTATGGTCGTAGATGGTGAGACTGGCGAAGTGGGACTGGGTGGGCCCGCCACTGTCGTCCGCTATACAGGCAACCTGTCCATCGTCCTCACCCAGAACCACAGGGTCGATCTCAAGAACTGACTCATCTCTGTCTCCCCTCACCGAGAAGCGACCCCTGCTTATCACCCTCCGGCCCTTCGTCTCCCAGTGTACCGACAGTGCAGAGGAGCCCGTGGCGCTGTAGGTAGGGTACGTCTAATATGTATATTATGTTCACATTCATCAGATCACACTATTGGAATGTTTTAACCAGCAATATTGTGTTTTATTATTGAGACAGGGATATATATGTTTGTTTGTTTGTTTAACGCCGCACTCAGCAATATTCCACCTATATGACGCGGTCGGTAAATAATCGAGTCTGGACCAGACAACCAGTGATTGACATCATGAGCATCGATCCACGCAATTGGGACACGAAGACATGCATCAGCCAAGTCAGCGGGCCTGTCCACCGATCACGTTAGTCGCCTCTTACGACAAGCATGGTCGCCTTTTATGGCAAGCATGGGTTGCTGAAGACCAACCCTTACCTGTCTTCACGGAGACAACGAAACCAAAAGTTGTATTTCACTTTGGTTCATGATGAATAACAGTATAAATAACACAACGCAGCGATGCTGTCACGTTCTAACATTTGCTAACGTTCGAATTATGAAGGAGATACACATTCGACTCTGTCAGGGCAATTATGAACTTAAAAAAAAGGATGAGACAACTGAGAAATCGTCACATCAGATTTCGACATAACAGTGTTCAATTGTACCTCAGTGAAGCCTATACAACCGTATAGACGAGTCCTACTACGTACCCGTGAAGATCCAGGGTAGAATAGGTCTTCAGCAACCCATGCTTGCTGTAGTAGGCGACTATGCTTGTCGTAAAAGGTGACTTACGGGATCGGGTGGTCAGGCTCGCTGACTTCGTTGATGCATGTAATCGTATCCCAATTGCGTAGATCGATGCTCATGATATCAATCACTGGATTGTCTGTTCCAGACTCATATACAGACCGCCGTCATATAGCTGGAATATTGCTTAGTGCGACGTTAAACAACAAACAAATAAAGTGCTGCTACAAAACTGTATACTCACCCGCAATAGAATCTGACAACGGCTCCATCTTCAACGCTCTTGTCCTTGGGTGGTACCGTTATCCTCGTCCCTGCCTGGCCCTTCTCTTTCGACACTGCATGGGAACATATACCATTACAGGCCTTCCAGGAATGAATTGCATTTGATATATTAAAAGAGGTATTTATTTTCATTGCCGTTGATGAATGCATCGAACGTTGGCAAATTTAAAATCCAAAGATATCTGTCAACAGAAAATAGGTCCAAAGAGCCCCTACACGAAATAGACGAATGATGGGGTGCATCAGTACAAGAATGGGGTGTATCAGTACAAGAATGGGGTGCATCAGTACAAGAATGGGGTGTATCAGTACAAGAATGGGGTGCATCAGTACAAGAATGGGGTGCATCAGTACAAGAATGGGGTGTATCAGTACAAGAATGGGGTGCATCAGTACAAGAATGGGGTGCATCAGTACAAGAGGATTCTGTTCGTGAGTGAGTGAGTGAGTGAGTGAGTGAGTGAGTGTGTGTGTGTGTGTGAGAATGGTTTTACACCGCTTTTAGCAATATTTCAGCAATATTACGGAGGACACCAGAAATAAAATTCACACATTGTACACATGTCGGGAATCGAACCCGGGCCTTCGGCGTGACGAGCGAGCGCTTTAACCACTAGGCTAACCAACCGCCCCAATATGTTTGAATATATGTGAACACAATGTAGTGCTTAGGCGACTGTCCTATATCGGAAAATGAATTTAACACACATAAAAACTCTCAGCAAAGTATAATCATTGGTAACTTCAGGGAAGTTTTGTCTCGCGTAGGGTGTGACTTGAAGAGCAAATTTAAATCTTGCACGAGATACTACTACTTGGATGACCATTTCAAGTGAGTGAGTATGGTTTTACGCCGCTTTTAGCAATGTTCCAGCAATATCACGAAGGACACCAGAAATAAAATTCACACATTGTACCAATGTCGGGAATCGAACCCGGGCCTTCGGCGTGACGAGCGAGCGCTTTAACCACTAGGCTACCCCAACTCCTGACCACTTCAGAGGGTAAACAGAAGACCCCAAGTGGTGATAAACTGCATACTTGAGAGTTAAAGTGAGTGAGTGAGTGAGTTGGGTTTAACGCGGCCTTTAACAGTGTTCCAGTTATATCACGGCGTGTCAGCATATTGTGGGAGGAAAGCCTGAGAGAGTTAAAGAATAGAAGCACATAGTTTGTTGACACCTATCCGCCGACACACGTATAACACTTCAACCACTGCGGGTTTTAAGATCTACACGATAGTGGTCAGTACGTAGTTTTTTTCGGCAGACCCTTCCTAGCCCTTGCTTTCTTAAATAAGTCTCCTTATTGAATCACCTTCTTTGACCTTGACCTGGAAGGTTGACGAGTCTCCGAGCGTGCTCTGACATACGTATGTTCCACTGTCCGTTGTCTGGCTGTTGGTCACTTCAAGTAAGGCATATAGCGTCAGGTCATCCGGGCCAATAAGCTTTGTCTTGATGACAGTCTCCGATTCGTGAAGTTCTTCCCCGTCCTTGAGCCAGACAACGTCACTGGGAGCCGACGTTCTGCCCGTAGCGTTGCAATGTAGTCTGACGGTGGCACCAACAGTGATAGACTGCGGACCGCTGATTGTTACACCTGTTCACGTCACATGACAAGTCATTATCCTCTACATGTCAATGTTATAGTCTTTATCGCATGAGTGTAAGTGAGTGAGTTGGGTTTAACGCCGCTTTTAACAGTATCACAGTTATATCTCGGCGTGTCAGCTTAATGTGGGAGGAAAGCCGGAAGTGATGCAGGTCTCAGACGTTTACCACTTCGGCGAAACCCACGATCACGGGGGTGGTGCTGACAAACCTTGAAACATAATCGGGGCGAACCGGATTCGAACCCACAATCATAGGTTTCTGGCGTGGCCAAGGGACGCAACTTTGCACAGCGAATCGCGGCGCCTTAGAAGACTGTGCCACCCGTACCCCCTTTAATTGCATGAAATAGTGGACAAAATTAATATACCTCATGAATATACCCGAAGTAGCTAATTCGAATATGACCTGTACACAATATGTAGTAATTATTTAGTGAATCTTATTTCTTGTGGATATGAATTGGTTTTTTAACACAATTGGAAATTATTATTCTTTAATTGATTAACAGTTCAGAGTGAGTGAGTGAGTGAGTTGGGTTTAACGCCGCTTTTAACATTATTCCAGTTATATCACGGCGTGTCAGCTTAATGTGGGAGGAGAGCCCGAAGTGATGCAGGTCTCAGACGTTTACCACTTCGGTGAAACCCACGAGCACGGATATGGTGCTGACAAACCTAGAAACATAATCGGGTCGAACCGGGATTCGAACCCACAATCATATGTTTCTGGCGTGCCCAAGGGACGCAACTCTGCACAGCGAATCGCGGCGCCTTAGACGACTGGGCCCCCCCATGCCCCCTTCACAGTTCAGATGTTAACAGCATACGTTTATCACCTTTTAATGACAAATAATATGTATATGCCAATCTTAAACTTCAGAACATGTAACAATAATTTACCAATTGAAACCGGTCGCTGGAATAACATAAAGCTAGAAGATTATGCATGTGAACTGTGCAACTCTCCTTCAGAATTTTCATTATCTGTTTAGAAACCAGGTTTTGTCATAACATAGACCTGTATACGTACCAATTGCTTACCAAAATAAATTTGTCTAATTTGTAAACATTTAAGAGGTTATTGTCCAGTCAAAACACTAGAGATCTTATCGCGATTTATTGATAAAATATTTAAAGTAGTACGAACACACAAAACAGAAAGATATAATATATCCATGCATGACTTACTGTCACCTTGTCACATATTAATACTTCATGTGTACATGCTTATTATTGTGTACTCTTTTGTACCACCGCGACTGGTTTGGAGAATAATAAACTGTTCCGTTCCGATCCGATCCGTTCCGTTCTGTTCTGGTCTGTTTTGTTCTGGTCTGTTCTGGTCTGGTCTGGTCTGGTCAGGTCTGGTCTGACTATGCATGCACACGTCGTGGTTTGGAGTGTGTGTGTGTCGGTGTGAAAGTACGTACCTGCCCTGCCTTCCACGATGACCATGAAGGTTGCTTTGGAAGCACCTGCCGATCCCTGGGAGATGCAAGTGTAATTAGATGACTTCTGAATCTTGTTCAGGGAGAAGAATGACTCCGTTCGACCTTTGATGTAAGCGCCATTCTTCTGCCATACGTACATACTTGTTCTTGAACCCGGGGTCACACAGGTCAAGTTCACGTAGTCGCCCTTGACAACCCGCAATTGCTTCACGTGGGGCGTGACATCATCTGATGCATATCGAATATTTGCACACTTGTGGGAGGATCTATGTTTTTAATAAATAAATCTTCTAGTTCTAGCCTCGCATCTAAAAATAGTTCATGACGCTTCTTGGGAAGTAAGGATATGAACAGAGAGGCATAATTACAGATGAAGACACACGCTTTATCTGAAAGGCAGCTGTACTCGTGTTTGCAATGTTAATAGTGTAATGCAATGTTGATGATGTCTGACTGACTGACTGAGTTGGGTTTAACGCCGCTTTTAACAGTATTCCAGTTATATCACGGCGTGTCAGCTTTAATGTGGGAGGAAAGCCCGAAGTCATGCAGGTCTCAGACGTTTACCACTTCGGTGAAACCCACGATCACGGGTATGGTGCTGACAAACCTAGAAACATAATTGGGGCGAACCGGGATTCGAACCCACAATCATAGGTTTCTGGCGTGCACAAGGGACGCAACTCTGCACAGCGAATCGCGGCGCCTTAGACGACTGGGCCACCCGTGCCCCTGATGATGTCAAAAGTGTATTAAGGTGGCAACAACCAAACACAATATGACAAACTACATTTGTTACTCAAATACTTAGGACATGAAACAGCAAAACAGTTTTAAAACAGGTGGCCCTGAATATGGACAGCTGTCATATTATGTCTTTGGCTGGAGCTCTTTAAGTGCCCCACGACCCGTGAAGATCCGGGTAGAATAGGTCTTCAGCAACCCATTCTTGCCGTAAAAGGCGACTACGCTTGTCGTAAGAGGCGACTAACGGGATTCGATGGTCAGGCTCGCTGACTTGATTGATGCATGTCATTGTATTCGAATTGCGTGGATCGATGCCCATGATACCAATCACTGGATTGTCTGGTCCAGACTCGATTATTTACAGACCGCCGTCATACAGCTGGAATATTGGTGTGTGCGGCGTTGAACAACACACAAACAAACAAAACGTAAGTATATGATCTCAGGGTTGTGGAAATGTACCTCTGAAAACAAACACGTCCATACTCCGCAGGTGTCCGCTGTTCGGAGTTCGACAGGCGTACACTCCCGTGTCCCTCTTCCGGCTGCGAATAATGGTGAGTCTGCTGGTGAGAAGATCGTGATCGCGGAGCCTGATCTTGACGATGTGGATCTCAGGGTCAGATTCGGCGTCTAGTCGGGACCCGTCCTTAAACCACTCAAGATCTGTGACGTCAGCATATTCCCCGGTTGCGTTGCAGGTGAGTGACAGAGTGTCCAACTCCTCGACATATTCAGTCCCCCCGATCACAAGAGCTGCAGGCAGAGGACGTATCATAAAGAAGTCATCTCCGCATCTTACTTTTAATCATGTTTTGTTTTTTCATTATCTATACAAGATGAAGCAGTAAATCCCAAACCGCAATGAAGAACGAAGCGTAATAATCTCACAATATCTCACTAAATAATTTGCATCTCACAATATGTCACATTATATCGCTATATCTCGCTTTATTTCACAATGTCTCACTGTATCTCACAATATCTCACTATAACAGACAGCTACGCGATACAACGCAAAGAACAATGAAGAATGAAGCGTGGTTTATTTCATGATAAAAACTTGTTCTATTATGACGTCATTTCTGGAGATGCTAACATGAGCTCGCAACTTGATGATGTCGTCATATTTTGGACGACGCTATTTGTGAGAGGGGAGTTTCTAGTGAGTTGTTCCCCATAGATGTAGATGTGGTACGCAGATAAACGCAGTGTCCGAACGATCGCATCCAAGATCAGGAGAGATATGACAATCGGTAATAGGAGTATAGGTACAGATAATCGACGTGAGGATCGTGAGAATATGCGGGAAATGCCAAAATTAACCCACCTGTTCATAAAATGGACTTGTCCGACATTTTCGAGGTCGAATTCTATTCAGGAAGTCATCGTTATTAAAATTAAGGTAATTTAAAGCTTATCAACATCACCAAAGAGGTTGTACATAATGTTGATATCTCATATATAAGAAATAAACGACTCGAGGTCGTTGTTTGTCGTACAATACAAAACTGCCGTGAGAATAATTCATGAGGGCTACAGTGTTTTATTGTACGATAAAGAACGACCACGAGTCGTTTATTTCTTAAATAATCAAGAAAAGCTGTCTCTCACCATGTTCCGCCTCCATGACAACCATGAACGTCGCCTCCGACCTCTTGTTGGGGCTCTCCGCTCTGCACGTGTAGTTGACGGACATCCGCACGTTTGGTAGTGCGAGCACAGCCCCGAAAACCGGAATGTCCTCCCCATCAGTTGACCAGGAATAGATAGTGTTCTGTGGGTCCTCGGTCACGCAGGTCAGATTTACAAACGACCCGGGAACAACCTTAATCTCCTTAACCTTTGCCTTCTTTCTGGTCTCTGAAAGGTTTGAAGAAATGTATGATCAGGTGCCCAACCTCGCGGAGCACAACTACATGTAGTTCAATCAGTGAAAAACAACTGGTATACTTAAGTGCAGCAAAAACAGTTTCTCTTTGATCATGGGGGTAGTGGTGAGTTGGTTTAACGCCGCTTTGAACATTATTACACTCAGTTATATCACGGCGTGTCAGATTAATGTGGGAGGAAAGCCCGAAGTGATGAAGTCTTGGACGTTTACCACTTCGGTGAAACCCACGAGCACGGGTATTGTGCTGACAAACCTAGAAACATAATCGGGGCGAACCGGGATTCGAACCCATAATCATAGGTTTCTGGCGCGCTCAAGGGACGCAACTCTGCACAGCGAATTGCGCCTTATAGACGACTGGGCCACCCGTGACCCTCGTTTGTCATGTATGAGTGAGTGAGAGAGATTTTACGCCGCTTTTAGCAATATTCCAGCAATATCACGGCGGGGAACACCAGAAATGGCTTCACACATTGTACACATGTCGGGAATTGAACTCGGGTCTTCGGCCTGACGAGCGTACGTTTTAACCACTAGGCTACCCGACCGCCCCAATATCATGTATGATGAAGATTGAGAGCTGGTACTTGCACACGTGATGTTTACATTGACAAAGAGAAAACACAACGCGCCCCATTATGATTAAGTCGGTTTACTTCTCGTCATTATGGTTATGCATTTCACATAGTTAAATAGCATTGAAACGGGCGTAACTTGGAGTGAAATTCCACTGAAAGATGTATAACCTACGATGTGCTCCTCTACATTGCCAGGCACGTTTTTGAGCGAGCAATAGCTGTGAGGAGCTGGTAGAGTAAAAGAGCGGTAGGAGCTTATTCTGGACTCGTTTGTTTAAAGAGGTAAGGTGAAATGGGGATTAATGTCGCTTCCAAGATTATTCCACTTTTATACCGACGTCCATGCACATGTGTGTGTGTGTTTGTGTGTGCTTGTGTGTGTGTGCGTGCGTGCGTGCGTGCGTGCGTGTGTGTGTGTGTGTGTGTGTGTGTGTGCGTGTGTGCGTGTGTGCGTGTGCGCGTGTGTGTGGCTGCTTGTACCAATCCACGCCGATTTTATAGTGCTAGCCCACTGAGATACAATGCCGCAGTTTACATGAATATCACTCAGACACAGAATACAGACTCCGAGCCGACCAGTCTTTGTTTTAGCCCCTTAATGCTGAGCGCCAGGCAGGGTAACAACAAGTACAATCTTTTAACGTCTTTGGTGTGACGGGGATCGAACCAGGGACCTTCAGCTATCCGGGCGTACGTTCTGTACCAATCCACGCCGATTTTATAGTGCTAGCCCACTGAGATACCATGCCGCAGTTTACATGAATATCACTCAGACACAGAATACAGACTCCGAGCCGACCAGTCTTTGTTTTAGCCCCTTAATGCTAAGCGCCAGGCAGGGTAACAACAAGTACCATCTTTTAACGTATTTTGGTGTGACGGGGATCGAACCAGGGACCTTCAGCTATCCGGGCGTACGTTCTACCGCTCTCTTCAAATAGTGAGTGAGTGAGTGAGTATGGTTTTACGCCGCTTTTAGCAATATTCCAGCAATATCACGGCGGGGGACACCAGAAATGGCCTTCACACATTGTACCCATGTCGGGAATCGAACCCGGGTCTTCGGCGTGACGAGCGAACGCTTTAACCACTAGGCTACCTGACCGCCCCCTCTTCAAATAGAACATGGAGGTTCAGGTGATGAATGTGTGAGTTGGATCGTTTGAACACTATTTCAGTTATGTATGCACGACAATGTAGGACGACAGTCCGAAATGACAAAGTACGTTTACGTTTTCCATCTTGGGTCTGTTGCTGACCATAGCATCACAATGTACAATATTAAGGATTCAAATCAACATTTAGCGGATCCTGACGGAGAAAGGTGTCGCAACTTTTAATGAATTGCAGGCCTAATCCACTTGGCCCCTTGTACCTACCCGCTAACATAATTACCGTATCCGTCATAATAAGCGCCCCGCTCTAATAAGCGCCCATGGCGATATTTGCTAATATATTGGCTAGTGAACAATCCCAATTAGCACCCTTCCGATTGATTAATGTACACAAGACTTATTTATTCGTGTATAATACACACTCGTGTGTTGTATGCATCCTTAATTATGGGCAATTAAATTCTCGAAAATATATCTATCGTGTATAATACACACACATTCTTCTTTTATATCATTTCAGGCTGTCAGCATAAACCACAAAATTTACAATCTTTCTACTCTGTCTTTTCTCTCACCAAATAAATATTCTAATAAGAGCCCCCTATTTCTAATTTTGAGAGCGCCCTGGGCGCTTATTACGTCGAATACGGTAATATAAGGATTGTAGACCTTTTCGAAACCAATTTCGTTACAAACAATTGATAAAGCAGGGAGATGCCCGTCCTTCTGTTATGACAACTAATCAAGCAGCCGCACACCGTTAGAGCATATGAAAAAAATGTTTTAAGAGTCTGTTAATACATTCTTACACGATATCAGGTTCGTTTTAATAATATTGAATTTTTAGAAACCATGATTATTTACCTTCGTAGCCTCCGACCCACACCGGAAACACTGCCTGTGTTCTGCCCACTGTATTGTGGGCCACGCAAGTATAGTTGGCTGACCTCTTTACGTTGCGCAGAATCAGAACGTTACTTCCGGCTCGTGAGGCGGCTTCCTGCAAGTCCTGGTTGTTGAGCCGCCATGTTATCAGCGGCTGAGGAGGCCCAACCGCCGTGCACGTCAAGTTCACACTACCGTCTCGCCTGATCTTCACTGGTTTGGGTTGGGTGGTGATTCGTGGGACGGCTGTAGCAACAGATTCAAGAGGGACTAGCGTCGGGAGTTTGACAGTCTTAACTTGCTCCATTTAAGTCATTCAAAACCCACCTTGTCAGCGACACAGGAACTCGATGATAGCGTGTATAACATAATATATTAATCGTATAGAGAAAACAATCACAACCCTCTATATACATATACACAAGGAGTGACACACGCCATCTTGGTTCTTTTTCAAGATTTCGCACTCAGTTCGAATCACAGCTCGATATCGCATGAAATATGAATGTCACTTATTTCAACCTATTGGAACTTGCTAAACAAACCATAGGCTACACAATCGTGTTAATCTGTGGTCACCCTACCTCGTATTTATTTTAAAACAACCATCAAATATCAGCTCTGTGCTGCGCCGCTGAGGTAAACAAGAAAAAGGTGGACGGAACTTACGGCGTTACACGGGCTTGAACACGGCAAACGTTTCTGATTGGTTAAAATGTGTATCATAATATTAGCACATGGTGAGGGGAGGGAAATTCAAGACGTCAATGATAATCTGCTTCGAAATATTTAATTTTGCTGCAGATTTCCTTGTCAACCGCAACATCTTGCAAGCAGGCTTGCCATTGGCGGTTTTGAATTTCCCTCCCTTCACTGTGTGCTAATATTTAGATCCACTATTTTTTTATTTTAGCCAATCAGAAACGTTTGCCGTGTTTAACCACTAGCCTAGCCCACCACCCCATGGTGACAGGTGAGCAGGTAAATCAACGGATCTGACCACCCGATCACCTTTAGGCATCCCCGTACACCACTCGGGGCCACTTCTGTTGTTCTTCTATCCTGACGTTCTTGGCGCACACACACACATACACACACACACGCACGCACGCACGCACGCACGCACGCACGCACACACACACACACGTACACACACACACACATATATGTTAGTTAATGTATGGAGAATTATTCATATTCAAGAGACCTCAGATTGGTTCGATGCACAAACGAACATACAGTTGTGTGAATCGAAGCTTATGAGCGCATCACATGTGACGTCATAGATCCATGACTTGAGATGCTTCATTTGTCTCGAGCAGAATTAGCGTGTAAAGTTTGGAAATAACGTGCAGCATATCGTGATAAGAATAAAGACACTCGGTGGTAACACTTGGCTGATTGTTAGTTTGGTCATTAATTGCTACACATTGGAAACATATCTTCTTAACGTAGACACTTCTCTGTACGTTCGATGGTTCGCGTTTCTTTTGGCGGTGAGTATATTTCATTCTGACAATCAACTCACAGCACACATTTACACAGAGGCATTGTCAGACGTTCACAATACAACTCCCTGGTGGTGTTTCCGGGTTGGAATTGACCCCAAGCAGCCGATCGTAACAGGTGAGTGAGTGAGTTTGGTTTAACGCCACTTTTAACTGTATTCCAGTTATATCGCGGCGTGTCAGCTTAATGTGGGAGGAAAGCCCAAAGTGATGCAGGTCTCAGACGTTTACCACTCCGGTGAAAACCACGAGCACGGGTATGGTGCTGACAAACCCAGAAACATAATCGGGGCGAACCGGGATTCGAACCCACAATCATAGGTTTCTGGCGTGGCCAAGGGGCGCAACTCTGCACAGACGGCAAACAAAAAGGTCAGAAGTCAGACCTCTACTTAATCAAGCGTAAGTAAAACGTAGAATTCAGTCTTTAATACATCTTTTAAAAAATGGACAAGTCATGCTCATGATGTCAGTCACTGGATTGTCTGGTCCAGACTCGATTATTTACAGACCGCCGTCATACAACTGGAATATTGTTGATTGTGGCATTAAACAACAAACAAACAAACGTATGATATGACAAAGGGATCTCAATATCTACAAAGCACATACCGGCTATCTGTAAAGTGGCGTATTTGCTGATGGTGCTGCCGAAGACGTTTGTAGCATTGCAGTAGTAGACACCAGCGTCCGACACCTTCTCATTGTGGAAGACCCGTAGAAAGAAGAGCTTCCCTCCCAGAAGAATTACCTTTGGGGAGAGGGGGTCTTCCCGAGTCGTCAGGACTTTCTTCCCGTCCTTGTACCACGTGACGATAGGGGCAGGGTCGCCTTCAGCGTGACAATCAAGTGTCGCGGGCTGCTTTGCGAAGGCGAAGACGTCCGTGGGGTTAGTGACAATGATGGGCTTGTTGGGGTTAGTTTCTCCTGCAAAAGTGAGTGAGTGAGTTGAGTTTAAGGCCGCTTTTAACAGTATTCCAGTGACATCGCGGCGTGTCAGCGTAATGTGGGAGGAAAGCCCGAAGTGATGCAGGTCTCAGACGTTCACCACTTCGGTGAAACCCACGAGCACGGGTATGGTTCTGACAAACCTAGAAACATAATCGGGGCGAGCCGGGATTCGAACCCACAATCATAGGTTTCTGGCGTGGCCAAGGGACGCAACTCTGCACAACGAATCGCGGCGCCTTAGACGACTGAGCCACCCGCGCCCCCTCTCCTGCAGAAGAGTCCTCCAGTCTTACATATAGCGCCCTATTGCGGAACCTCTATTATATTATGAGGGGATCACTACTGGTACAGTACTTCTCTCAGTGTTCACCTCAAAAGCATATCCGGACGTATCCTATTTACGAACAGTTAAGATGGCACTGCTGATGGCACTGCTGATGTTTTCAACAATAGAATTCAGCTACTTTCCGGAAGAAGGAAAAGTCCTGGATAAAAGGCGTGTAGATAACTACACAAAAAGTATAATAAATACGATATTCTATGTATCACGTTAAATATCATGTTTCTCTAATCGATTGACGGGGAAAAGAGATATTTCCCCCGTCACTCGATAAGAGAAACATAATATTTCACTCGACACATGAAATATCCTCTATTTATTAAAGCCAATACAATCACTGGTGTAATTTTGATACAGTTAAGTTTAACAAAAGTTTCAAATGGGTATCCAGTAGCATCATAAAGGCAACTTGTGGTTGCCCACATACCTTTTATCGACAAACAATTACATCATAGATATGTCTTTTATATGCGAAACCAGTGCAGGGTACCCTCCCCAAAAACTAAAGCTATAAATAAACCATATAACGACTTCATCTGGGGACATGTTTTCAACAAAACACTACGTTTGCCGTAAACTGCTTCACGAATGTCATGCAATCATCTAGCATGTTGTTTCGTAATGCACTCTTCATTATTCTGAAAGTCTGTATTCGTGATAGCAAAAACCTAATTATAATATGCCAATTACATTTAACGGTCAGTGCATTTTAAACATAGTCAGTACTTCCCCAAGCAAAATGTCAGTTTAAACTTTACGTACCTCCATGTAACTCTTATAGTTTGTTGGGTTGGGTTTTTTTAACGCCGCACTCAGCAATATTCCAGCTGTATGACGGCGGTGTGTAAATAATCGAGTCTGGACCAGACAATCCAGTGATTGGCATCATGGGCATCGATCCACGCAATTGGGATACGATGACATGCATCAACCAAGTCAGCGAGCCTGACCACCCGATCCCGATACTCGCCTGTAACGACAAGCATAGTCGCCTTTTACGGCAAGCATGGGTTGCTGAAGACCTATTCTACCCTTGATCTTGATGGGTATGTAACTCTCATAACCGGTATCACCATCAACCCTACCTACAACTTGTAGGACGGTCACGTACTCAGAAAGAGACCTCTTATGTCACGTGTAATAATCAATCTGCCACCAATGTCACGTACCTCCAACTACGACCACCTGGAAAACTACCTCGGCGTTTTCCCTGGCGCCGACAGCAACACACGTGTAGTTCTTGTCGTGCCTGACGTTGGTGAGGTAGAGGACGCTGCTGTTGATGTTCTCCCCGCGGTTGTCCTGGAAGATGACTTCTCCACCCACCAGCCACTTGAAGTAGAGCACTGGCACCCCACCGGTGCCGCACGTCAGATTCAGCCCCAGCCCCGATCTCACCTCCACACGGTTCGTGTCGGTCACAATCACTGGCTTGCCCTGGGCAACTGCACACAACACACAGAGTTTATGTCAATCTCATTAAAATCAGATCCTAGTTCTCGCTACCGGTAAACAAAGATCAGAGGACATCCCATTGCGGGTCATGTCAGAACGACCTTTTATCTGACCAATCGCTTATCAGATCATGAAAGTGACAGTTAGAATGTGATTTTTGATCGTGTTCCGAATAACAGTTATGGGCATTATGTCTGTATTCATACAATCTAAACCACCCATTAGCCATTCCAGAATGTTCTTTTGTTCAGTTTTTATTTTTATGCCCATTGATGGATTACCTAGAAATATAATATAATATGATGTTATTGTATGAAAAACACGGAATTTGCAATTGGGTAGATGATTTTAAGTCGTTATTAAATGAATGCGGCTATTGGTATGTTTTGCATAATCAATGTGCACCTAACAATCCAGTTTCGTTTTTTAGCGTCTATACACTAAAAACTTCAGGATAGTAATCTACTTACAAAAATGATCATCGCATGTTTTAAGTTCAGAAAAATGCAATTATTACATGCTTTTAAAGACAAATATTTCCCAGAATACTATTTGTTTGATATCAATTTTAAAAGATTTAGCCAAATTTAGATGCATCTCTCATAGACTCAGAATCGAAGAAGGCAGACACGGAAACATAGCGAGAGAATTGAGAATATGTGAGCAATTTGATTAATATATGATTGAAGATGAGTTTCATTTTCTGTTAGTCTGTCCAAAATACGACTATCTAAGAAGTAAATATTTAAAACTCCCTTTTTATATACAGGCCACTCAAAATTCTCCGATCATGTCAGCAACTGATTAAGATACCCTTAAAAACTCTAAATATTCATTTATCATGCTATGGTAATTAGAATATGACCTGTTAAACATATCTGCAACCACTCCCAAATAGAATTGGACCTGAGGCCTTTCAGTGTGGAATAAAACTTATCCTATCCATACAGAGTATAAGGCCAAGCATGTTATCCTGTAGGTCTCAACTTGCAACCTGAATTGTGGCGCCAAAGATAGTTTTGCAACCTGTGGCTCCCACAGTTGAGCTGCGAATGTGGCTAATCTATACCCAAAAGCAAAAGTTATTTGATTGCTTAAACTTACAAACCTATTAATCCCATGTATTTTTAGGAAATAACCAATATTCGGGGTGGGGGGTTGTTTCAAAACCATACCATTTCCAATGAAAGAGGGGCGGTCAGGTAGCCTAGTGGTTAAAGCGTTTGCTCGTCACGCCGAAGACCCGGGTTCGATTCCCGACATGGGTACAATGTGTGAAGCCCATTTCTGGTGTCCCCCGCCGTAATATTGCTGGAATATTGCTAAAAGCGGCGTAAAACCATACTCACTCACTCCAATGAAAGAAATCGTCGGAAGTGCATGCAACCACCAAGAGAAAATAAATGACAGATGGCCTTGGACGACTGGGCCACCCGTGCCCCCTCTTATGGCAGTAAATCATTTCAACCGATTCTCCTTGTTTTTGTAATGCCACAATAATGTTTGCTTTTGAGTATATATTTTGCCATCTTCCCAAGGCAAGGGAGTTAACTGACTTTAAAAGTCCAGTTTCCACCCTTGCCGAACGAGGCTGGAATTTCTGGTCCAAATCCTAGCGCCACCAGTGGCTATTATGAGTTATGTCCCTTCTATGTCCCCCCTACTGAACAATCAGATTTCACCTCTCATATCACTTGAATTTTTATTTCAAATAAATTGGCGGCCCCCAGTCAAGTTGATGTCACCAAAAATAAAAATCTTGTAATAAAACGGATTTTATCTCGCGAAGTGCATGACATCACTTGAGCACATTGATTAAAAACAAGAAAAGATTTGGAAAATACGTGTCGAAGCCCAGTTAAAAGTACACATGCAGTGCAAATCCTGGAATCGAAAGAATTCGGCACGGCAGTTACCATGGTGTTTATGAACCGGATGTCGATATCGTGGGGTTATGGGATTTTGATTTGACTATGCAGAGATACGTTAGCCCAGCCAATATAAAACTCCATAATTCCAGCCTAGTTCGTCAAGGGTGTAAACTGAACTATTATAGTCAGTTAACTCACTCGACTCGGGAAGATTATTATTTTTCATCAGCATACGTCTATCTTACCCCTACTCTTTCCTTCCACAGTGAGGACAAAAGTGGCAGGGCTTTCCCCCCATTCAGTGCGGGCCACGCACGTGTAGTTGCGAGATTCCCGGATCTCCATCACCTGCAGCACGGGACTGCCTCCATTGTCGATCTCCTCCCCGTCGTACATCCACGTGACCTGGGGGAGGGGCTTCCCCACCCCAGCACACGTTAGGTTAACGTTTGATCCCGGGTTAAGACGAACATACTTCACTGACGGGCGGTTAGAGGCTGGAGCTGGAAAATTGGACAAATAAGTTGGATGTGACACACTGGATCAGACTCATGCCTTATCTCAAAGCCGATATACAGTACGATCTAATTCGTTCTGGAGGGTATATATGTATAGTTCATAGGGCATTACTCCCGACAGTGTTACGTTCTGGAGGGTATATATAGTTCAAAGGGGTATTAGCCCCAACAGTGTTACGTTCTGGGGGGTATATATAGTTCACAGGCGCATTACTCCCAACAGTGTTACGTTCTGGAGGATATATATAGTTCACAGGGGCATTAGCCCCAACAGTGTTACGTTCTGGAGGGTATATATAGTTCACAGGGGCATTACTCCCAACAGTGTTACGTTCTGGAGGGTATATATAGTTCATAGGGGCATTACTCCCAACAGTGTTACGTTCTGGAGGGTATATATAGTTCATAGGGGCATTACTCCCAACAGTGTTACGTTCTGGAGAGTATATATAGTTCATAGGGGCATTACTCCCAACAGTGTTACGTTCTGGAGGGTATATATAGTTCACAGGGGCATTACTCCCAACAGTGTTACGTTCTGGAGGGTATATATAGTTCATAGGGGCATTACTCCCAACAGTGTTACGTTCTGGAGGGTATGTGTAGTTTAAAGGGGCATTACTCGCAACAGTGTTACGTTCTGGAGGGTATATACAGTTCATAGGGGCATTACTCCCAACAGTGTTACGTTCTGGAGGGTATGTGTAGTTTAAAGGGGCATTACTCCCAACAGTGTTACGTTCTGGAGGCATTACTCCCAACAGTGTTACGTTCTGGAGGGTATATATACTTTATAGGGCATTACTCCCAACAGTGTTACGTTCTGGAGGCATTACTCCCAACAGTGTTACGTTCTGGAGGCATTACTCCCAACAGTGTTACGTTCTGGAGGCATTACTCCGAACAGTGTTACGTTCTGGAGGCATTACTCCCAACAGTGTTACGTTCTGGAGGCATTACTCCCAACAGTGTTACGTTCTGGAGGCATTACTCCCAACAGTGTTACGTTCTGGAGGCATTACTCCCAACAGTGTTACGTTCTGGAGGGTATATATAGTTCCTAGGGGCATTACTCCCAACATTCATTCTTTAGTCTAACTAGTCGTTTATCTGAATTATTTTACAGTAACGATACGATTCAGATAAATGGGTCTTCTCTGTCCTCTTGATATGATACCGAGATAATGATACTGTCAAAATGAGGTCATCGTTGCTATGGAAATAAGCTTACCCCTCTTTGTGACTTCTAGGTTGGGGGAGAAAACATCCCCCTGTTCGTTTGAGCCGCGACACTGGTACTCGCCTTCATCTACTCGAGACAACGAGTTGAAATAGAGTCGTCCTGAAAACATACATACACCATAGATTTTAAAACAGGGGAAACAGTAGTCTACGTCTTATGATTAAATGTATATGAAACCAGCTACGTCACAAGAGTTACGTCCCTTAAACGTGCCAGGAACCTATGATCGATGGCTCGCGTATCGGTTCGTCCTGATTGTGTTTCACCAACGTGGTAAACATCTACGACCTGCATCAATTCATGCTTTCCCGTTTAATGTTAACACGCCGCACTCAGCAATATTCCAGCTATATGACGGCGGTCTGTAAATTATCGAGCCTGGACCAGACAATCCAGTGATTGATATCATGAGCACGATCCACGCATTTGGGATCGATGACATGTATCAACCAAGTCAGCGAGCCCGACCACCCGATCCGTTAGTCGCCTCTTACGACAAGCATAGTGTCCTCTTACGGCATGCATGGGTTGCTGAAGACCTATTCTACCCCGGATCTTCCCGGGACCGCCGTGATATAACTGAAATACAGTTCAAAGCTGTGATAAACCAAACTCACTCACAAACCATAAAAGATGACATAGCTTTATGTGGTTACTTGATCTATTCACGCTATCTGAGCTGCAAGGGGCTGTGTCTGTACAAACCTTGTTCTTGGAGTATCCTGGAGGAGTCTAGAACTGGATAGGAGTCCTTGTACCACGTGATGTTCACATCCGGGTAGCCCTCAACAACACACTGCAGAAACTGTTGGCCACTCACGTTCATCTGGCGTGGACCGCCCGAGATCTCGGGGAACCCTTCAGGTAGATCTACATTTAAAAAACAAAATATGAAGCCATCTTTCTCTTTTCTTCTCCAGCACTGGGACAATAGCTTGGATGGATTGTTTGTTACTTCCATGTATCTAATTTAGTATTTGCGAAATGAGGCCTGCGCACTGGCCCTATTGTTAATCGACACAGACTGTCTGGAATGTTCTGAAGTGTATAATAGATGTCATAGATGAATGTCTTGGTTGCTGTGTGTGTTCTTGTTTAACGCCACACTCCAACTGTGTGACGGCGGCCTATAAATATCCAGGCAATCCAGTGATCAATATTGTGAGCACCGATCCACGCCGTCGGGACACAAACACGCAACCAAGTCACCCAGACCAACCACCCGATCCATTTGAGCATCTCTTACTACCAGCATAGGATGCTTGGGACCTAGTTTAATACGTAATTCCCACGGGGAGGTGAGGTGAGGTGAAATTGGGTTTAAGGTCTCGTCCAAGATTATTGAACTTATATAGCGAATTGCATGCACGTGTGTCTGTGTGGCTGCTTGTACTAGTTCGGACTGATGCCGATTTTTTGGTGCTAGCTTACTGAGCTTCCACACCGCAGTTTGATATGAATACCCAACTCAGACACAATATACTGACTCTGAGCCGACCAGTACTTGTTTTAGCCCTGTATTGCCGAGCGCGAGACAGGGTAACAACAAGTACCATCTTTTAACGTCTTTTGGTATGACGGAGGCGGTTAATTCCCACGCAAGATATTATATCATATTATAGAGTGTTTGACGGAATGTTGTTTTACGACGCAATTCGAGTCCCTCAGAGAGACCAGTGGTTGATAGAATGAACAATGGGGCACGATGACGCCCACATTGTGACCTGATTTCCGATAAGCCGGTTTTTATACAGCATGGGGTACATGAAGCCTATTCTGCCCAGGAATCTCAATATGTACAGAGCGGAGAAGCGTTCCAATCATATTGGGTTTTAGTCGTCCTGAAAGATATATATAAAACTGTTTGTGAGACCTTCTCTTGGTAGTACTTCTAGGGTAGCTGCTTGTGACACGCTGAGTCTCAGGATGTTGTTGGCGGCGATGCAGGTGTATGTGCCGGAGTCTGCAGGTACAGCGCCGTCGACCCGCAGCATACTGTAGCCATCCTTCACCTTCATTTTGAAGCGGAAGTTGTCATAGTTTATACGATTGCCTCCCTTTGTCCAGTACAGGAGAGGAATTGGCTTCCCGGATGCTTTACAGTGGAAAATGGCACTGCTTCCATTGGAGATGGTGAGAGGCTGAGGAGAAATGACAATCTCGGGCTGACCTGAAGCAAGGAAGGGGCATTTTCCACATTCTGATATAATTAAACGTTTAATATAGATACATCTTTTCTCCTCTGCACTCATTCCTGACATATTTCAGGAAAAGTCGTCTGCTCCATAATCAAGGGAGATAACTCTTATTTGCACATTCTTAAATTGAAGAAGAGTTGCTTCCCTTTGACCATACCTCAATTTTAAACACTTGTCAATATTGATATTTTATGTATGCTTTCTTGAATATGACATTAAAATTCTCAATAATTTTGAACCAGACAATACATCTTTCATATGCAGCCTATATCCATCTTCCCGAGGCAAGGAGGTTAACTGACTATAAGAGTCCAGTTTCACCCTTGCCGAACTAAGTTGGAATTCTTGAGTTACTTTTAGGCTTGACTTACTAATCTACGCAAAGCCCTATCAAAATCGCGTGACGAACTAGACATATTGTTCCAAAACAACATGGGTTTTAACGTGCAGATTTCGGTACACTGCAGGCTTTGAAAGCATGTGTTCCCCCAAACTTAGCGTCGACAGATATCTTTTCATGTGTTTAATCCAGGCGCGCAAGTGATTTGATGCACTTCGCGGAGTAAGACCCGTTTTATTACAATATGGATCTTGATTATCGATCAGATCGTCTTGACTGGGCGCCGGAATTTTGTTTGAAGCAAATGCAAGCGATAATAGCGAGGGTCATGGAAGGGACGTAACTCGTAATAGCCACTGGTGGCGCTACGATCGAGCCGGGAATTTCCAGCCTAGTTCGGCAAGGGTGAAAACTGGACTTTCATGGTCAGTTAACGCCTTTGCCTCGGGAAGATGCCCATATCAGGAATCTCATCCCCATGTATTTTTGAATATATCATCACGGGCCGACACAAGTACTACCTATACTGTCTTCGGTAGTTGATACTTTTGACATGACTGACACGAGAGTTATAATTAATTATCCAGCATCACACTTTATCATTGATTTAACAGACACTATTTAGGCTTGATGGGGAAGATGCTTTCATAGACGATGCTGACGCGTAAGGACGCTTCATGGAGAATGAACTCTAACCACATGCAACCTATAACGTTGTTTTGCTGTGACGTTCCAGCAATGGACCTTTGTCTTTGCACGCATTAAAGTTCTCCTTCCGAATACTATTTTGAAGGATACCTCGCTACACTGTCAGTAAAAACGGATTTTTTTAATTTCTGAAAGAGAATCTCTCCTCATTGTAATTTGAACACGTACCCTAACGCATAATGTGTCAATCAATGATCAGGAAAGGTAACTTCACCATAGATATCACCTGATCTAAATTTTCGATATCTCCAATGGGTGTGCACTGGATAATTAATGTTTGTTTGTTTGTTTGTTGTTTGACGACGCACTCAGCAATATTCCAGCTACTTGACGGTGGTCTGTAAATAATCGAATCTGGACCGGACAATCCAGTGATTGACAGCATGAGCATCGGATTATTGGTGCATCTCACGGTTTGTGTAATGCTTACGAATAATGCTGCTGGGAAATGGCGTAGGCTCTCACCGACTGCTGGTATAAAGGCTGGCTCACTGGGAGGCCCCGACCCTGCCTGGCCTTCAGCCTGAACCATGACCTTGTACCGATAGCCCCCTTGTAACCATGGCATCAGGTCTTTCCTGTCGGAGGCATCATGGGACACTGAATGTTTCGGGGCATCGATGACCCTGTCGGACGCGTCTACGGGGGAGTAGTTGACGGTGAAGCCCGTGATTCCGGGGTAGCTGCCCTGCTCCTCCTCCGCTGCTCGCCACCGGATGAAGCCCGCTCCCCCATCCAGCCTCTGTGACGTGAAGATGACAGGCTGCGGTAGGGCTGAGATATCACGATAAGTTATTACGATATCAAGATAACACGTTACGACATCACGATCACAAATTAAGATATCAATATCACACATTAAAATATCACGATCCCATATTGATATAACAAGATCACACATTAAAATATCACGATCACACATAAAGATATTAAGTCCACACATAATGAAATCACGATCACACATTAAAATATCACGATCACGCTTTAAGATATTAAGTCCACACATTATGAAATCACGATCACACATTAAATATCACGATCACACATAAAGATATTAAGTCCACACATAATGAAATCACAATCACACATTAAAATATCACGATCACACTTTAAGATATTAAGTCCACACATTATGAAATCACGATCACACATTAAATATCACGATCACACATAAAGATATTAAGTCCACACATAATGAAATCACGATCACACATTAAAATATCACGATCACACTTTCAGATATTAAGTTCACACATAATGAAATCATGATCACACATTAAAATATCAAGTTCACACATTATGAAATCACAATCACACATTATCAAAGCACGATCACACATTTTGATGTTTATGTCCCATATTAAGATTTCACGATCACACATTAAGATATCATGATCACATATTAAGATATCACGATCAAACTATAATTATAATTCACAGTAAATGGATTTAGCTGATCTCTTTAGGCATATTTTTAATTATCTGATGTACTGGTGATCTGGTCATTTATGCTCAGAGAATGCTGTGTAACCTTAAAGACCGAAAAGACATAACCATATGAATGGTAAACATTTATTAATAATATAATAATATAATTGTTGGGTAGTTTAAACAAAGAAAAGGCGAGACAAAAGAAAGACGTAAAAAGTGTATTTTCAACTCAAGACAAATGGCTTCTTCCGTTTGAACCTACTTTGAATTATTTTCGCCAGAAAGAAAAGAAGACTTTATTTTTGTTCAATATTTGTGAAACTTAAGGTCGCCGGATCTGTAAACCAAGTAATTTAAATTAAATCGGCCTACTTAAGACGTTGAAGTTGTATTTAAAATAATTTTCAGCAGTATTCCAGCAATATCACTGAGGGTGCTGTTTTGGGTGTTGTTTAACGCCGCCCGCAGCAATTCTCCAGCTATATGACGATCGGTAAATAATCGAGTCTGAACTAGACAATCCAGGGATTGCCACCATGAGCATCGACCTAACGACAAGCATCAAATGCTGTTCTACATAAGGACTTTGAAATTTTATGAGGGCTTCAGTTGTATTTATTTTTACCCGGAAGGTCAACGATGACTTCATAGTTCTGTGTGATGGTATCTTCTCCACTCGAGGCCAGACATTGGTAACTTCCAGACGTGTGGACATTGGTCAAGGCCAGAACATATCGACCCTGGCGTTCTGTTGTTGTCGTCTGCTCGTTCACCAGAATCCACTTGACAAACGGCACGGGATCTCCGCTTGCCTCGCACGTGAGGTTCACAGCGCCACCATACGGTACACGCAGAACTAACTCAGCGGCCTTGAAAGATGCCGGCTCGATTATCGAACGATCTGTTCGGACAAAAAAGAAACTGATCATGACAACACAAAACAATGACACGTACCATAACGTCTATTGTCATCCCAAACTGACTCCCACGGGAGATATCGCTTGGGTGAGATCAATGAAATTGCATCACAATGCTTAACAGACCATTGTGACGTCATTGTTACCATAACGTTACAATCAAATGACATCACTAATGGCTCTGCTACTGAAGCTGTTAGCAGTACTTTTTACGCTTAAGCCTTATTACTGTCTAATAACTGAAAATGCACGAATGATGTTGGATGATAAATATCTCGTGTTGATATATATTTGATATCAAAAGACACTCGGGTGAGATTCTCTATTTATTGTGACAATATCCCAAAGGACATATCAAGAGAGTCAGATAGTGAGTTTTAGAGCGTTACGTCATGCACATAACTGACCTGTATCAACACAATCTTACCTATTACCTGGAGATTTGCTTCCATGGAGTACACAGAACCCATGTTATTGGCCGACTCACAGATGTAGTCCCCGCTGTCGTTTTTCGTCAGTCTGTATATGGTCAAATATCCTGGAACACGACGCCAATACAAGTCAATCGGCACTATATACAATGTACATTCTTGGTTACTTTGGAACTTACTTATCTTGCAAGGTACTGTGTTGTGTGGAGCTGCACCGCTAAGGTGTGATAGATTCCTTCCTAGACGGTAGTGGGTTCATATCCTGGAGTCGCCCTCATCTGTGGTTTGTCTGCACCATGTCCGTGCTTGTGGGTTTGCCACAGTGGTAAACGTTAACTGCATCTCGGACTGTGATGTTTTTGAGATATACTCTTCAAAGCTGCGTTAACGCTCGCTCGCTCCCTCCCTCCCTCACTCACTCACTCACTCACTCACCCAATCACCCACACACCCACCCACCCACCCACTCACTCACTCACTCACTCACACACTCACTCACTCACTCACTCACTCACTCACTCACCTGATGAGTCAACGACGTATCGAGGCATTTCGGTGACTGGGAATCCATCTCTGTACCACGTGTATCGCATCTTACCGCGACCTTGACCTCTGCAGTTGAAGGTCATGTTCTCTCCTTCCTCAAATTCTGATGACTCAGGTTGCAATGTTATCTGCGGGTATCCTTTCCTTTTACCTGAACGTAAAAAAATAAGACAAAATTAGAGAGCCCGAAGAGGATATGACGTAGTGCTAAACTGATTATATTAATTCAGTTAGTCCTGGGAATACATCTATAGACATTTACTTGACGCGAACCGTGCACCCATTACGCATACATACTGAAAACTAACTATATTCACGTATGTATGTTTTCAAATTAATGTTTCTATTTCATAATTTGGTACCAATTAAAACTAATGTCCCTACGTTATCATTTAAAAAATACAATGCACAACCGAAAGCTTAGCGACCTTCTAACACAAGGTCCGTTTCAGTTGTGAAACTCCAAATCTGAAGAACGACCTCTGAGTTTGTACAATCTTAGTGACGTCACTTGCAGTAAAGTGCTATATCCAGAGTGCTACAAATTTTGTAGCTTTGGACATCCATATTTTAACATTGGATCTAAAACAGAAGGCTTTAATTCCCCTAGACCCCAAACTAAATACCTCAGTTAGATACCCGCATAAAGTGGCATGTACGTCTCGGGTGATCAGAAGTCTGTTCCTAATGGTGTCCCCTTGATACATACATACCCTTTATACATTTCAGCATGTAAGTGAGTGAGTAAATATGGTTTTACGCCGCTTTTAGCAATATTCCAGCAATATCACGGCGGGGGACACTAGAAATGGGCTTCACACATTGTACCCATGTCGGGAATCGAACCCGGGTCTTCGGCGTGACGAGCGAACGCTTTACCCACTAGGCTACCCGACCGCCCCTTCAGCATGTAAGTGTTGTATTACCTATTGGTGTAAGATTATAGCTATGCCTAGTAGTCGTTACCCCAAAAAGAGCTATATTCTGTTGTTTAAGAAACTGTAAATGGCAAGATTAATTGGGTATCCAAGGTTAAGAAATACCTTATGTAAATATGGTTACGGCTATGTTTGGGAAAACCAATCAGTCCCTCATCCAAAAACTATTTGTATTTGAATATGTGTTTGTTTGTTTGTTTGTTGTTTAACGCCGCACTCAGCAATATTCCAGCTATATGACGGCGGTCTGTAAATAATCGAGTCTGTACCAGACAATCCAGTGACTAACATCATGAACATCGATCCACGCAATTGGGATACGATTACATGCTTCAACCACGTCAGCGAGTCTGACCACCCGATCCCGTTAGTCGCCTCTTTCGACAAGCATAGTCGCTTTTACGGCAAGCATTGGTTGCTGAAGATCTCTTCTACCCCGGATCTTCACAAGAATGGCATTCTGATATTGCTAGTAATTCTAACATGCATTCCTATTCTTTATTTTAATTACTTTTTGTGTTGAACCGTATCTTTTAAATATCAATATTAATAAATGTCGGACTGCACTCTCCCGCTATCGTTGTAGTTCGCATACACTTAAAGTGAGTAGAAATCCCAACGTCCCAAGAGCCAAAAGAGTTTGTAACCTCTGTAACATTGGTCTTATCGAAAACGAATACCATTTTCCTTTAATTTGTAAAACATACAACAATCTTAGACATAAATATAATTCGGGAAAATATCATGTCCATCCTACATTACAAAAATTTAACATATTGTTGTCATCATGTCATGCTGAAACCTTGAAAAACCTCTCATTATATATATTCCATGCCATGGATATTAGAAGCTCGTTAATGTCCATTGTGGACCTGACTATCTAAATGTACAACGGGCCGATGGCCTACGGTGAGACACGAATAAAGAATAAAGATGTACTTACCTACTACTTTGAGAACAGCCCTTGCCTTAATGGATCTGCCGACTTTGTTGTTGACGAGACAGACGTAGGGGCCTCTGTCCTCCGGCAGGACATGGTGTATCCGCAGCGTGGACGCCCCAGGAGACTCCGCCACCGAGAAACGCTTCTTGTCGAAGTTGACCGTGCGGCCCGATCTGCGCCACGTGATCGTCGGGACGGGGTCAGCGATGGCCGCACACGTGATCATCACCATACTCCCCGCAACTACCTTCTTGGTGCCTGGTTTAGCTTTCATCTGAGGGTTAACTTTAATCAAAAAACAAAATATGTCTGAAACATCAACAGTATGAGATGAAACTAGTATATTATCAATCTCATCGAAATCAGATCTTAGTTCTCGCTACCGCTAAACAAAGATCTGAGGACTTCGTATTGCGGGTCATGTCAGGACGACCTTTCATCTGACCAATCAGAGCGTCGCTTATCAGATCATGAAAGTGGAATGTGATTTTTGATCGTGCAACACACTGGGTACTACAGTTGTGGGCTTTATGTCTGTATTCATACAATCTAGACCATCTATTGGCCATCCCAGAATGTTCTTTTGTTCAGTTTTTAATTTTTTGATCGAGTATATGTAAAAATATGTTTCGAAGCGTAGTCGCCAGTTTGAAACTCGTGCCGAAAAGCTCGATTAAGCTGCCTTCTGATTGGCTATAGTCGATCGACTTCTTGTTAGTCATTCCATTGGTCGGTCAAAGTTCGCGAAAGGTCGGTCTGACGCGACCCGTAATGGGATGTCCTCATATCTTTGTTTAGCGATAGCGAGAACTAAGATCTGATTTTAACGAAATTGGTATATTATGCATTTACCATAATATTCATCCTTAGTGATGAGCAAAACCAGGCTACCCTACGAGTATGTTTCTTACTGAAATATTAAGACTGTTTTGTTTGTTTTGTTTGTTTTGTTTGTTTCATGTTTAACGCCGAGCTCAGCAATGTTCCAGCTATATGTCTGGACCAGGCAATCCAGTGATTGATACCATGAGCATAGATCTCCGCAATTGGGATACGATGACATGCATCAACCAAGTCAGCAAGCTTGATGACCGATCCCGTTAGTCGCCTCTTACGACAAGCATGGGTTGCCGAAGGCCAAGTCTAACCCGGAGCTTCACGGAGGGAGACAAGCATGGGTTTCTCAAGGCCAAGTCTAACCCTGATATTCATGGAAAAGATGCGCGGCGATTACGTTGCCTGATACAACAATAACTATGCACTTACCTGGCAGTTTCTCCCCGATGAAAGTAGGTAAGCTGAAGTCCCCCACACCATAACGGGTCCGATATCGTACCTGCACCTTGTAACGCGCCCCATTCTCAAAGTCGAGCACCACTTCTGGTTTTCCGAATACTGATTTGCGAGCCACAGGTTCCACAGCTACGTTGTCGCTGTCGACTTGGACGTAAGACACGACGTAACCAAGCACATCCTTGTTATCTGCCGCTGACCAGTTGACCTTGACGCCGCTTCTCACCTTGCTGACCGTCACATTGGACGGCTTGCGAGAACTTGCTAAAATAAATGAGTCATTTTTATATTGTTTAGGCTCTAACGCGTAATGAAAGAGATGATTTGAAGTTTAAACTTAATTTGAAACTAAATGCAGATGCATACTATCATTATATCAAAATGGCTGTCTAAATAACAACTGCACTTCATTTAAGGACACTATTTCAATACAGTCGTCAGCTTAAGGGTTAAAATTAACGTTACCATAAGGAGGAGTCTTGACATGCGTAACAGCCGTGACCTTCTCATTTCCCAATTGACCTTGCGCCCGGAAGTAATAGAGCTCCCCAGGGTCAAGGTCCATGACCCGGAAGCCTCTGATGCCAGGGAACACGCTGAGCAGTAGCCATGGGTCGCTCTGGCTGGTTGTGAAGGACAACCGGAAGTCCTGCAGCTCTTGGTCCCCCAGGGTGTCCCATGAGACGTACACCTCACCCTCGGAGATGGCGTCGGCGCTGATACTGAGCTGACCTGAACACAGAATGAGTGAGGCAAATCTGAGCAGCTTTCAACAGTAGTAAGGGCGGTCGGGTAGCCTAGTGGTTAAAGCGTTCGCTCATCACGCCGAAGACCCGGGTTCGATTCCCGACATGGATACAATGTGTGAAGCCCATATATTGCTGTTATGGAATGTTATTGGAATATTGCTAAAAGCGGCGTAAAACCATACTCACTCAATTGAACAGTATTATTCCAACGGTCGTGTTATTTGGGCATAAACTAATTTATCTTCCTGAGTTATTTTAGGTTGGGAATGTGATTTCACGCTATCGTAAGAAATACCATCTCTATTTATCTAAGGGGAAGTAGGGTAGCCTAGTGGTTAAAGCGTTCGCTCGTCACGACGAAGACCCGGGTTCGATTCCCGACATGGGTACAATGTGTGAAGCCCATTTCTAGTATTTCCCGCCGTGATATTGCTGGAATATTGCTAAAAGCGGCGTAAAACCAAACTCACTCACTCACTATCTATCTAATTGATAAGAAGACGTGCTGCTCCACTGAAGCGTTTTTTTTAATCTTTAAGATAGATATGTTTTTTGTTTATAGAATGAATATACTCTTTTTTAGATGTTTCGAATGAACATTATGTGTTTCTAAGTGTCATGGTGGCGGGATTAAAACGTACATTATAAGAAATCAATGGTATTCTTTATGGAATATTGCACAGTCAGAAATGAGTGTGGACGTTGAATCGTGGGCTCTGTAGCCCTAAGTGTCTTCTTAAGTATGGAGGGCGGTTTGGTAGCCTAGTGGTTAAAGCGTTCGCTCGTCACGCCGAAGACCCGGGTTCGATTCCCGACATGGGCCCAATTCTGGTGTCCCCCGCCGTGATATTGCTGGAATATTGCTAAAAGCGGCGTAAAACCATACTCACTCACTCTTAAGTATGGAGGGCGGTTGGGTAGCCTAGTGGTTAAAGCGTTCGCTCATCACGCCGAAGACCCGGGTTCGATTCCTGTACAATGTACAATGTGTGAAGCCCATTTCTGGTGTCCCCCGCCGTGATATTGCTGGAATATTGCTAAAAGCGGCGTAAAACCAAACTCACTCTTAAGTATGTAGACGTACGATATTAATTACGCATTGTTCTAAAAGTTACGAACACATTGATTTGTGAATGCTTTGTCGTGTAGAATGGATGGTTTTTGACTACATGACAACATATGAGCTGAACATCAATACATGTGATGTATAAACATTCACAAGTCTTATGACAAATCCGCATACTTGGTGCATATCAATATCACAATGATACAAGCATTGCTACATTAAGGGTTGTAACAAAGCATTGACAGAATGTGAAAGGGTAAACGTTTATAAAACAGATGCAGTGGCTATGCCACTGATGGGCACGTGTAGCCACAGTTTTAGCTTCCATAACCTGGTGGTTTCAGAGGAAAGAAGTAAAAAATGAAATAAACCTAGATCAGTTGTTGGTAATTTGAGGAGAATAGTTACAACCACGCCAAAACCACAACATACGGTTATCTTGCAAACGCCCTGACCAGTTATCCTTCACAACGGCACAGGGATAATGCTTGCCAGATATGGCATTGTCAGTACCATTCAATATTCCAAATTAAACCCCAGAGAAAAATGTTGAAATCACATACACACAAAACATATTGTAGCGGCCATAAAATTTCCGAGTCCCTTGATGGGATTCGACCCACGGACATTCTGACACAGGTTGGACGCATTGTCCACATGACCAAAGAGGTTAACCCCGTCAGTAAGCTGACAAGGTTGGGATGCCATCTGTGGGATGACTCCACACCCAGCTACAATTTTACCTACATACCTGGGGCGGTCGGGTAGCCTAGTGGTTAAAGCGTTAGTTCGTCACGCCGAAGACCCGTCTTAGACGTTAACCATGCTTGAGGTATCATGACACAGAGAAACCAATGATCACAGTCCTGGATTAGAATCCCCATACACTTATCTTTCTACGACTTTCTGACTTTCTCGTCACGCCGAAGACCCGGGTTCGATTCCCGACATCGGCACAATGTGTGAAGCTTATTTCTGGTGTCCCCCGCCGTGATATTGCTGTAATATTGCTAAAAGCGGCGTAAAACCATGCTCACTCACTCACTCACCTACATACATACATACATCGAATTCAGTTATGTAAATACAGTAAAGTTCAGTCTTATTGGCTATATGCAGGTCAAACTACGCCCAAATGTTACTCGTCTAATTACGAATACCACGTGTTTGCTGAATGTCAGTTAAAATAAAACACGCAGACTGGCTGAACAAAAAATAACGACTCTTCAACATGGCTGACAAAAACGTGGCTTGACATTTCAGAAGAGATTATAGAAGATTGAAAAAGATAGAACACACAACAATTTGAACGTTAGTTCGGGAGGGCTTTACAACATTACAACATCTTTACAACATCATTTTATTGACTATACATCTGCAAAAATTCGAAACATGAACATGCATATTTTAAATAAAAGAAGATTCCGTGAGATGAGCTATATCTTCTCGTTACACTGTGAGAAGAGCTGGCTACTAATGATTGACATGTCAAATGCTCGTCTAGTCGGAACTCAGAGCATATGATTGCACCTACTGCCACGTGTTGTCCGGAGCCAATAATTGAAATCTATAGCTATTATACATAATTATCTGCATCAGGCGAACCGGAAACACGACAGTTGACAACCCGGAAGTGACGTTTGACAGCTATATCCCGCGACGCCATCTTGGCGTATTTGAGGTTCAGAGGAAGATTAACGTTCTTGGCAGAAAATCAATACATACAATGTCGCTGAAAAGACAATAGACAAACAGTGATACTTTTTTTCTATTTCCTGCCAGGAATTAATATGATAGGTTGTAAACTAAACGTAATTGCTTCAAATGGTGTCGATTTCGTGACATTCTCACAAGCCACAATCTAACCACATCCGACAAAGTTAAACGAGTCTGTCTTCTGAAAGGTTATAACGCAATATATACTATAAACGTTTACATTTTGGATCTTGGTTGTTTGCATGAAACTAAAAGTGGATTTGTGATTCATAAAGAATATAATCCACGAAATGTCCAGTATTGTCATGCAGCCTCGGTCTTACCTTGACAGGATCCTATTGACCAGCTCACAGCAATAAATGTCAGACAAACTGCCCACTGCATAATGGAAGTGAATCCTCTGGTGTGATTGAAAGATTTTACACTAAAACATTCAATCCTCGTCAGTTAGAACCCGACATTCTTGCAATATATTCCATCAGTATTGTGCATTGATGAACCTAACTTGACGGATTTGTCATGAGCAAAATCCCATCACCGCCAGGCGCTCAGGGAAATAGAACTGACCAGTGTTAAACACTAATGCAAAGACGTATACATCCCAGGCTTGCAATGTCAGGGTCAACTCTGTCTTTCTGAGGGCAACCGCCAAGAGGTCTGTCTCGAGATTTCCTGTGCGTTCTCTTGGTAACACAAGCATCGCTACTTGAACTTGGAGAGCTTCACGAAGAAACGTGACCCTTCCGTCCGGCGCAGCTCCCGACTTAAAGTTAGTCGTGGTAAAAGTATGCCATTTTCTTAAATGTTTTCATGATCGTGTACCTACAGGCAGAATTATATATGGATCAGAAACATTTGGCTGCAGCTTCTTAACCATTACACTATATGTAGTTCCTAACATCGTTCATTGTGGGTCAGTCTAAATTGATCGGAAGGTCAGGCTTGGGGATTGGGTCAGTCCATGTCATCGTACCCCGAGGGCGTAGGTCGTTGTTCATAATATCAATCACTGGATTGTCTCGATTATATACAGGCCTCCGTCACACAACTGGATTATTGCTGAGTGCGACATTAAACAACAAACAGACAAACAAAACAATGTGGGTAACAAATTAAGTTATGATCCGTGTACTATTGGAAATCGCGCAAGGCAACAGTGTGCTACCACATACAGACAAAGCACTAAGTCGGCTCAAGAAGCTCAAACGCGCAGTGTAGGTGAGGCTATGTGTGTTGTGTGTAGCGGTATAGTGAGTGTGTTTCATGTGCTGGGAGCTCGGCGTCGTGTGCCCGACGTAACATGGCGGTATAGTGAGTGTGTGTCACGTGCTAGTGACTCCGTGCAGTGTGTCCCACATAGCATGGCGGTATAGTGTGTGTATGTCATGTGCTGAGAGCTCCATGAAGTGTCCCACATAACATAGCGGTATAGTGAGTGTGTGTCACGTGCTAGTGACTCCGTGCAGTGTGTCCCACATAGCATAGTGGTATAGTGAGTGTGTGTCATGTGCTGAGAGCTCCATGCAGTGTCCCACATAACATAGCGGTGTAGTGAGTGAGTGTCACGTTCTGAGAGCTTCGTGGAGGGTGTCCCACATAACATAGCGTTGTAGTGACTGTGTGTCGTGTCCTGAGAGATCCATGCAGTGTCCCACATAACATAGCGGGGTAGTGAGTGAGTGTCACGTACTGACAGCTCCGTGCAGGGTGTCCCACATAACATAGCGTTGTAGTGACTGTGTGTCGTGTCCTGAGAGCTCCGTGCAGTGTGTCCAACATAACATCGTGGTATAGTGAGTGTGTGTCATGTGCTAAGAGCTCCGTGCAGGGTGTCCCACATAACATAGCGTTGTAGTGACTGTGTGTCGTGTCCTGAGAGCTCCGTGCAGTGTGTCCAACATAACATCGTGGTATAGTGGGTGATTGTCCAAACCAAATCTTGAAAAAAATGTTAATGCTTCAGATTGTTGAAAAAAAATGTATCTGCCTCAAAAAAAGACATTGTAGCAAGGTGTTTTCGTAAAAAAATATTCATGCTTTAGTTTCAATTAGAAGAAAATATCTGGTTTTGTATCCTAGGCCTCACAGAATGTGATTTTAAAATGTTTGAAATAAAGAAGTTGTATGTCTTGCATCAATGTTGGGGAAAATATTGTGTCTCTATCAAAAATCACTCTCATAGTATGAAAACATAAACAGTATATCAACACATCATATAACCTTTCTATTACATTTTGTATTTTGTATTTTGAAAGTAGATTTTGACTTCAAGTGGTTTACTTAGATCCGTAACGCAATCATATTGAGCTGTCGGACACAATTGTCCCATCATGATAAGCATCTGTGACATACATAACATCCGGTTGCTCCCTCTCTTGTTGCATCAGCAGCCCTGTGTCACACAGTATTCTCTACGTTAGCTTTATAATTGACCAGGAATGCATGGAGATGAATTACGCTCCCAAATAATGCTTATGACAAAATAGCGGTTAGGGATATACTTGTTTAAAATCTGTTTCTGGACATGTTGGACGTCTGTTTTGAAGGTGAGGTTGAGGGGAGCTGACTGTTAACCACTAGGTTTGGGGCGTTTGATGGCACCATTGTGGTTGGTGAGGGACATGTAGGTCATTTGGTTTGTTGGAAGGAGGATGTGTAATTTCGTTTTGGGTTGTCAGATGTTGAGTTGTCAAAGTCTCATAGGGATCACTGGGTATGGGAAGTTAGTGTGGGTCAGTGGGTGTGGGAAGTTAGTGTGGGTCACTGGGTATGGGAAGTCAGTGTGAGTCACTGGGTATGGGAAGTCAGTGTGGGTCACTGGGTGTTGTTAGTCAGAGTTGGTCCCTGGGTATGGGAAGTCAGTGTGAGTCATTGGGTGTGGAAAGTCAGTGTGAGTCACTTGGTGTGGAAAGTCATTGTGAGTCACTGGGTGTTGGAAGTCAGTGTGAGTCACTGGGTGTGGGAAGTCAGTGTGAGTCACGGGGTGTGGGAAGTCAGTGTGGAGTCACTGGGTGTCGGAAGTCAGTGTGAGTCATTGGGTGTTGGAAGTCATTGTGAGTCACTGGGTATGGGAAGTCAGTGTGAGTCATTGGGTGTGGGAAGTCAGTCTGGGTCACTGGGTATGGGAAGTCAGTGTGAGTCATTGGGTGTTGGAAGTCATTGTGAGTCACTGGGTATGGGAAGTCAGTGTGAATCACTGGGTGTGGGAAGTCAGTGTGAGCCACTGGGTGTGGGAAGTCAGTGTGAGTCATTGGGTGTTGGAAGTCATTGTGAGTCACTGGGTATGGGAAGTCAGTGTGAATCACTGGGTGTGGGAAGTCAGTGTGAGCCACTGGGTGTCGGAAGTCAGTGTGAGTCATTGGGTGTTGGAAGTCATTGTGAGTCACTGGGTATGGGAAGTCAGTGTGAATCACTGGGTATGGGAAGTCAGTGTGAGCCACTGGGTGTGGGAAGTCAGTGTGAGTCATTGGGTGTTGGAAGTCAGTGTGGGTCACTGGGTATGGGAAGTCAGTGTGGGTCACTGGGTATGGGAAGTCAGTGTGAGTCACTGGGTGTGGGAAGTCAGTGTGAGTCACTGAGTGTGGGAAGTGCGTGTGGGTCACTGGGTGTCGGAAGTCAGTGTGAGCCACGGGGTGTGGGAAGTCACTGTGAGTCACTGGGTATGGAAAATCAGTGTGGGTCACTGGGTATGGGAAGTCAGTGTGGGTCACTGGGTATGGGAAGTTAGTGTGGAGTCACTGGGTATGGAAAATCAGTGTGAGTCACTGGGTATGGGAAGTCAGTGTGGGTCACTGGGTATGGGAAGTTCGTGTGGAGTCACTGGGTATGGAAAGTCAGTGTGAGTCACGGGGTATGGGAAGTCAGAGTTGGTCCCTGGGTATGGGAAGTCAGTGTGAGTCACCGGGTGTGGGAAGTCAGTGTGGGTCACTGGGTATGGGAAATCAGTGTGAGTCACTGGGTGTGGAAAGTCAGTGTGAGTCACTTGGTATGGGATGTCAGTGTGAGTCACTGGGTGTGGGAAGTCAGTGTGAGTGACTGGGTATGGGAAATCAGTGTGAGTGACTGGATGTGGGAAGTCAGTGTGGGTCACTGGATGTGGGAAGTCAGTGTGAGTCACTGAGTGTGGGAAGTCAGTGTGAGTCACTGAGTGTGGGAAGTCAGTGTGAGTCACTGGGTGTGGGAAATCAGTGTGAGTGACTGGGTATGGGAAGTCAGTGTGAGTCACTGGGTGTTAGAAGTCAGTGTGAGTCACTGGGTATGGGAAGTCAGTGTGAATCACTGGGTGTGGGAAGTCAGTGTGAGTCACTGGGTGTGGAAAGTCAGTGTGAGTCACGGGGTATGGGAAGTCAGTGTGAGTCACTGGGTGTGGGAAGTCAGTGTGAGTCACTGGGTATGGGAAGTCAGAGTTGGTCACTGGGTATGGGAAGTCAGTGTGAGTCACTTGGTTTGGGAAGTCAGTGTGAGTCACTGGGTATGGGACGTCAGAGTTGGTCACTGGGTATGGGAAGTCAGTGTGAGTCACTGGGTGTGGGAAGTCAGTGTGAGTCACTGGGTGTGGAAAGTCAGTGTGAGTCACGGGGTATGGGAAGTCAGTGTGAGTCACTGGGTGTGGGAAGTCATTGTGAGTCACTGGGTATGGGAAGCCAGAGTTGGTCACTGGGTATGGGAAGTCAGTGTGAGTCACTGGGTGTGGGAAGTCAATGTGGGTCACTGGATGTGGGAAGTCAGTGTGGGTCACTGGATGTGGGAAGTCAGTGTGAGTCACTGAGTGTGGGAAGTCAGTGTGAGTCACTGGGTGTGGGAAATCAGTGTGAGTGACTGGGTATGGGAAGTCAGTGTGAGCCACTGGGTGTGGAAAGTCAGTGTGAGTCACTTGGTATGGGAAGTCAGTGTGAGTCACTGGGTGTTAGAAGTCAGTGTGAGTCACTGGGTATGGGAAGTCAGTGTGAGTCACTGGGTGTGGGAAGTCAGTGTGAGTCACTGGGTGTGGAAAGTCAGTGTGAGTCACGGGGTATGGGAAGTCAGTGTGAGTCACTGGGTGTGGGAAGTCAGTGTGAGTCACTGGGTATGGGAAGTCAGAGTTGGTCACTGGGTATGGGAAGTCAGTGTGAGTCACTGGGTGTGGGAAGTCAGTGTGAGTCACTGGGTATGGGAAGTCAGAGTTGGTCACTGGGTATGGGAAGTCAGTGTGAGTTACTGGATGTGGGAAGACAGTGTGAGTCACTTGATAGGGGAAGCCAAACCTTATTTGTAATTTTGGGACAGGTCCGACGTCTTTATGGTTTTCAAACTCCAGTTTGATCTATGAGATATGGCAAGTCGACTATCGAGGATTCAGAAGACACGTGAGCTCGTGCTGTTTTGGGCTCTTGGTTTATAAGTCTATGTCAAAGTTTAATGTTTGTGTTGCAACTTTCAGCAATTGGATTTTAAAGATTCGGAATGGATGGTCTTTGGGGGAGGTTGAACTTAAGTCAGATTTGAACCATTGAGGATTTCGATCGTGGACAGGAAGAGATTAGGGAGTCGGGAGTCCACAGTGGCAAGTTTTTGTTTTGTTTGCTTGTTTGTGGTTTAACGCCGCACTCAGCAATTTTCCAGCTATATGGCGCCGGTCTGTAAATAATCGAGTCTGGACCAGACAATCCAGTGGTTGACATCATGAGCATCGATCTACGCAATTGGGATACGATGACATGCATCAACAAATTCAGCGAGCCCGACCATCCGATCCAGTTAGTCGCCGCTTACGACAAGCATAGCCGCCTTTTACGACAAGCATGGGTAGCTGAAGACCTATTCTAACCCGGATATTCACGGGTCCCATAGTGGCAAGCGGAACGTCACTCTGTCTGGCATCGAGAACCTTGTACCGCGCTCATCGACATGACGACCTCCAGGAACAAAAGGTCATGTGAACGAAACGAAACAAAACGTTCCAAGATGTAAATCAAGCACTTTAACTCGTCAAAATAAATTCACGTGACTCATCACGTAACGACCATTATCTAACAGTAAATACGGAATGGCGTCTGATAAATTCAATATCGTCCGCTGTGGCAATGACGTGACACTCATTACAGGTTTAAAAATAACTTTAAGTTTAAACGTCAAACTTATTTGTTAATGTAACATATGTGTTGTAATTTTTTTTTAAATATAAAAAAAAAAAAATTATGTATATTTTTTATATCCTACATCACGATACTGTTACAGAAGTTTCATCATAACGGGACTTGCTGTTCAGAGCGTGGTCGTGTTGTGTGGTGACGGGTCTGACCTTTATGGTCCATCAAAACACGCCCTAATGGCCGCTGTCCGTTATTATCCTTTATTTAATGTAAATTAGACTGATTTCCTATATGTTGATAGGAAGTTGCAAATTATGATTGACGTTGTTGAAACACAAACTAGTCCGTGTGGGCTGTCGTTTATATGTTCAGTCAGACCGGTGTTGGCGAGAACGTGTATTCTGGTAGTGAGTTCTGCTGTAGAGATACGAATACCAAAGTCAGTCGGAGGTGGAGAATATCAAAACTGGAACAATGCTTCAAGTGGCGGTGTTCATCGGTTGTGTTGCTATGGTACTCTGTGACAGTCAACGGGTAGGTTCCAGTTTTTATCATGATGCTTCACCCGGACGATGTGTTTTGGAGACGTTCGACAACCATATGCATTGATTGATTTTTTCGTTGGATTCCTTTGACAAATCTTTTATGTTTTTTTATGACACATCGCTCATACAAATTAAACCAAAAGCCAAGATTCAATGCATTTTACGTGAAAAGGTTTAAAAGGCTCTTTTTAACCAAGGTGCATTCTTGTAACGTCTTCGTAAAGTCACCACCAGAAATAATATATTATATATTTTTTTATAAAGGAAGCCGCAAGTCCAAGTCACGTGGACCTTCAAAACGAAATACCGCATTCGACGTATTAAGCGCGCCGGGGGGGGGGGGGGGGGGGGGCGCTCTCAAAATTAAAAATAGGGGGCTCTTTTATTAGAATATAATTTTGGTGAGAAAAAAAGATTGAGTTGAAAGATTGTAAATTTCGTAGTTTATGCTGACAGCTTGAAATGATGCAAAAGAAAAGTCTGTGTATATTATACACCACAGATATATTTTCCTGAATTTAATTGCCCGTAATTAAGGGTGCATGTAACACACGAGTGCGTATTATACACGAACAAATAAGTCTTGTCTACGTTGATCAATCGGAAGGGGTGCTAATTGGGATTGTTCACTAGCCAATATATTAGCAAATATCGCCGTGGGCGCTTATTAGAGCGGGGCGTTTATTACGTCGAATACGGTAAGGGATCAAATGTTCTTGAAAGATTTAAAACTGGCAATGCTCTCTATCATTATCTAATAAGCAATCAAGTTATTCAGTCTTTAAAATAGTTTCTGAAGAAAGCACTATTTATTTAAAGTCACGGTGAAAACATTTCGAATAGCGTTTGCAATACGCAGATGTAACTCTCACACATTCTTTATCGTGACGGGAAGGCGTGTGGGGATATTAAGAGAACGCAGAATTAGTGATTCACTGTAGAAAATTCATATTTCTCCTTATTAATGTGTCCGTTATTTGCTGATCTCAGAAATCAGGTCATCGTAAAATATTCTATTCGTTATTCCAGTATACAATTCTTGTTTATTATTGTCAAGTAAGCGAGTGAGTTGGGTTTAACGCCGCTTTTAACAGTATTCCAGTTATATCACGGCGTGTCAGCTTAGTGTGGGAGGAAAGCCCGAAGTGATGCAGGTCTCAGACGTTTACCACTTCGGTGAAACCCACGAGCACAGGTATGGTGCTGACAAACCTAGAATCATAATCGGGGCGAACCGGGATTCGAACCCACAATCATAGGTTTCTGGCGTGCCCAAGGGACGCAACTCTGCCCAGCAAATCGCGGCGCCTTAGACAACTAGGCCACCTGTGCCCCCTATTTGTCAAGTAACAATGAAGAAATAACGAAATAACTGTCAATGTACATGTGGTCTGCAATGAAACTAAGAAGTTCCAAATATGCTACTTTATGGTTTTATATGCACACATTACTGTATAGCATATACTTTAGGCCCTTGACCTGTCAGCATTATAAATATATTTATACTTTATATATACTTACTTGACCAAGCATTTAAGGCCCACTTGCATTATCCATGAATGATAGGTGAGTAATCACGTTGACTTACTTTGTAACAAAATAAAGCCAATTTACATTTTTATTTTTTAATAATGATATCCAGGAACACCACGCGTCAAGCATTCACACATGCACATGTGCAGACCCTGGCTTCTCCGTCACCATCGGCAGGAGAAGAAGGAACAAACTGTTGATTAAACGATGCTTTTAAAACCAGGGAGATGGCGCTACGTCCTCTGCCCATATAATGCGCTGACATGGTATCTCATACACGATGTGAATAATTTTCGTAGCTTGTTCAAGTGTATATCTTACGATATCTTTATTGATAAGACTTTGTCATTGTTTAACTGCAATCCAGGGGGTCCCCAATTCCCCTTTTTGTAACCAAATGTAGTATGTTGTAGATAAAGCCATCACACACACCCCACCCCCATGTTCATAACGAACTACGGTTATTACGAACTAAAGTTAGTGATCCCTTTGAGTTCGTTATAACCGTAGTTTACTGTATGCTGTATATATGCTCATAACGAACTACGGTTATTACGAACTAAAGTTAGTGTCCCCTTTGAGCTCGTTATAACCGTAGTTTACTGTAGATGTAATGTGCAATAATGCCATTTAAGTATGACTGATTTATTCAAATTCTGATTACAATCCAATTTGATAATGCTCAATGCCTGTAACTTTTTAATCTCGGTAAAAACTGGTAGTGCACGCGGTACTGCACATCGCCTTTAAACTGAACATTTTTAAATTGTAAATTGGTGTAAACTCAGTCAATGTCCTGTTCTGTTCACTGCAGCTGTCGGACGACGCCAGCATCAACGTACTACGAAGTATCAGACGTCTCAAGACAATACAAAGGAGGAATATGGAACAGCCGTCAGAGGCTCTCAAGCAGAGGAAGGACACCGGCGGTAGGTGTATGGGTGTGGGGGTCACGGGCTGGAGGGAGGAACATGGAACAGTCGTCACAGGCTCTCACACAGAGTTGTGTAGGTGTGGGTTGATTTGAGGGGTGGGGTTGGGGTTGGGGAGGGGGGGGGGGGGGGGGGGGGGTGGATGTGTGTGAGAGTGAGGGTGTGGGTGTGATTGTAGGAGCGGGTGTCTGTGGGGGTGTGAGTGGGGGTGGATGTGTGTGTGGGGTGGGGGTGGGATGGTATGGGTGTGGGTATGAGTGTGGATATGGGTGCACGCAAGGGTGGATGTGCGTATAGGATTGGGTGAGGGTTTGGATGGTAGGGGTTTGGTTGAGGGTGTGGTTGTTAGTGTGGGTGCGCGTGTGGGTGGGTGTGGTAGGGGTTAGGGGTTAAGCGGGTACCATGGCAGCAGTTTACTGAGCAATTACACCATGATGGCGTTGATAGTGGATTGACAGACACTAAAACGGGTCTTTTTGAACACCATGTCGATCCGTGATCACTACACCCACACCAGGTTATATATCCTCAAATCCAGCTGTGCGTTGTTTCAGACCTCCTGACGTGCAACGCCTGTTCCTTCTCGAGCGAAACCAAAAACTGTGTGTACGTGGATGAAGTGTGTTCCCCGGGGGTAAGTACAGGGGGGTGTCAAGCCACACCCCGACTTTATATTCAAGAACCAAACAGATGGTGCATTAACAACCACCTGGCAGTCATTGCACGACTAGGTGTGGGGAACATAGAGACTTGGACGGTGGTTTCACACGTATTGTCAGATCACTGTAATCTGCATGTGAACCTCCTGACACTTTTAAGCATTTCTTGTTTTCTTTAAAATATAAATATTGAATTTAAACTGAAACGTGAATCATTTCTTTCGGAATTGTGGGTTCATACTGTTGAATTTGTAAAATAGTTTATCCTTTAGCCAGCCCGTTGGCTGTTGACCACGTGTCGCCATCACGTTTAAGCCACTGTACCCGCTCCCATGCTGTTCAATGTAATCTGCCGGGCAAAAGTTTGTTTGTTTGTTTGTTTGTTTGTTTGTTTGTTTGTTTGTTTGTTTGTTTTACTCTGCACTCAGCAATATTCAAGTTATATAACGGTGGTTTGTAAATAATCGAGTCTGGACCAGACAATCCAGTCGTTGAAGTCATGAGCATTGATCCACGCAAATGGCATATGGTGGCATGCATCAACCAAGTAAGCGAGCCTGACCATCCGATACCGTTTCTCGCCTCTTACGACAAGCATGGGTTGCTGAAGACCAATTCTTACCCGGATCTTCACGGGTCGCAAAAGAAAGTATACACCCTGCTTGGTGGTGGCTAGAAATGAAACAAACATGAAATAGTTATTCGATGGTGATGTATTTGACACGGGTATCCTAATTGTGTTTTGGACCCCACGCTTGCAGTGTTCCGGTGACTGTTTTCAGCCTAGTAGCGTTTCGATAATGTTTGAAATAGTTGGGTCAAGTCCAGTGTTCAAGTGCATACTTTTCTTAGCCCCACGGTTTATGTGTGTGCTCTGTTCCTCACAGCAAATCTGCGCGGACATCTGGCGGAGTGAAGGCAGGAACAGGAACTACAATGGCTGCATCAACCCCGACCTGTGCGCCATGATCAAAGAGGCCAAGGACACTACCTACGTCAGAGTGTCCTGCTGCCTGACAGACTTGTGTAACTGGTGAAGGGGACAGCCACCTCGCAGAGCAGAGAAATGGTCGTTCGCAGAACATTTTCATGTGACTAAATGTGAATTAAAGAAACTGTCGTCGATCCTTTTTTAATGTATTTTATACGCCACGTGATAGTTGTCGTTATACAAACTTACACATTCATTCCCAGATACACAGATGTGTGATGTGTGTTGTGACACTCGCCAAGGGATACCTGGCCATGTATGATGTCAGTACACCTATTACACTGATTGACTAAATAAGCTTACATTTAATCAGCTCCTAATGTGTAAGGATAAGAAAACCTTATCTTGGTGTATTGTTTATTCTAGAAATGTTCTAGCTAGGAAAACGTTGTTAGTATAATAACGATTACGTCATTTTTTCACTTAAATGTATAATAGTATTTAAATGATTATTATGTGCGTGGGTCTATGACCTTATTTCTAAAACAATAAACTTCTTCGTTTAGTACTCCTTCTGTTGTGCCGACATCACTAGACAAACATAACACACTAATGTACAAATGTAAGCAAAATACATCAGCAACTCTCTCTCCATTAGATATGTGAGAGACACAAGCAACTCTCTCTCCAATAGATATGTAAGAGAGAGACACCGGCAACCCTCTCTCTCCATTAGACAAGTAAGCGAGAAACACCAGCAATTCTCTATTCATGACATATGTAAGACAAACATCAACTCTCTCTTCCTTGGATATGTTACTCATTTTTCGTTACATATGCAAGTGAAAGACATCATCAACTCTCTCCCCATTACATATGTACGCGAGAAACATGAGCAGCTCTCTTCTTTCATCCTCCCCTGTCTTACATACACCTGCCTGTATCCATGATGGTATATACCCTACCCTGACTTGCATACACCTGCCAGTAGCCCTGGTGGGCTATACCCTACCCTGACTTGCATACACCTGCCAGTAGCCCTGGTGGGCTATACCCTACCCTGACTTGCATTCACCTGCCAGTAGCCCTGGTGGGCTATACCCTACCCTGACTTGCATTCACCTGCCAGTAGCCCTGTTGAGCTATACCCTACCCTGACTTGCATACACCTGCCAGTAGCCCTGGTGAGCTATACCCTACCCTGACTTGCATACACCTGCCAGTAGCCCTGGTGGGCTATACCCTACCCTGACTTGCATACACCTGCCAGTAGCCCTGGTGGCATACATCTTACCCTGTCTTACTTACACCTGCCAGTAGCCCTGGTGGAATACATCTTACCCTGTCTTGCATACACCTGCCAGTAGCCCTGGTGGGCTATACCCTACCCTGACTTGCATACACCTGCCTGTAGCCATGGTGGCATACATCTTACCCTGTCTTGCATACACCTGCCAGTAGCCCTGGTGGGCTATACCCTACCCTGACTTGTATTCACCTGCCTGTAGCCCTGGTGGCATACATCTTACCCTGTCTTGCATACACCTGCCAGTAGCCCTGGTGGGCTATACCCTACCCTGACTTGCATACACCTGCCTGTAGCCATGGTGGCATACATCTTACCCTGTCTTGCATACACCTGCCAGCAGCCCCGGTGGGCTATACCCTACCCTGACTTGCATACACCTGCCTGTAGCCCTGGTGGCATACATCTTACCCTGTCTTGCATACACCTGCCAGTAGCCCTGGTGGGCTTTACCCTACCCTGACTTGCATTCACCTGCCTGTAGCCCTGGTGGAATACATCTTACCCTGTCTTGCATACACCTGCCAGTAGCCCTGGTGGGCTATACCCTACCCTGACTTGCATACACCTGCCTGTAGCCATGGTGGCATACATCTTACCCTGTCTTGCATACACCTGCCAGTAGCCCTGGTGGGCTATACCCTACCCTGACTTGCATTCACCTGCCTGTAGCCTTGGTTGCATATATCTTACCCTGTCTTACTTACACCTGCCAGTAGCCCTGGTGGCATACATCCTCCCCTGACTTACATGCCCTTGCCAGTAGCCATGGTGGCATACATCCTCCCCTGTCTTACTTACACCTGCCAGTAGCCCTGGTGGCATACATCTTACCCTGTCTTACTTACACCTGCCTGTAGCCCTGGTGGCATACATCCTCCCCTGTCTTACTTACACCTGCCAGTAGCCCTGGTGGTATACATCTTACCCTGTCTTACTTACACCTGCCTGTAGCCCTGGTGGCATACATCTTACCCTGTCTTACTTACACCTGCCAGTAGCCCTGGTGGCATACATCTTACCCTGTCTTACTGACACCTGCCTGTAGCCCTGGTGGCATACATCTTACCCTGTCTTACTTACACCTGCCTGTAGCCCTGGTGGCATACATCCTCCCCTGACTTACATGCACCTGCCTGTAGCCCTGGTGGCATACATCTTACCCTGTCTTACTTACACCTGCCTGTAGCCCTGGTGGCATACATTTTACCCTGTCTTACTTACACCTGCCTGTAGCCCTGGTGGCATACATCTTACCCTGTCTTACTTACACCTGCCTGTAGCCCTGGTGGAATACATCTTACCCTGACTTGCTTACACCTTGCAGTAGCCCCGATGGTGTACATCCTCCCTGCATACCATCAGGGCTACAGGAAGGTCTATGCAAGAAAGATAGGATTGTACTATCAGGGCTACTGACAGATGTATGCAAGTCAGGGTAGGATATATACCACACAACTTAGTAGGACTTGCATATATGTACTAATAGCTCTGCTGGACTACATGCTGGCTAAACGGACGTACAACTTCATTACAAGTTGCCAAATTGGCACACACATCCCAGCAGGACTTGCGTATACATACCAATAGCTCTGATGGTCTGTATGCTGGCTAGACTTACGACGTTATACGTTGCCCTGATGACACACCCATGCAGCAGGTGGGATATGGTAGATGTGGAGTCGACGTTTTGACATGATGCAAACTGTAACTGGCCTTGCGTTCATGAAATAATGCTCTGTATAAAATGAACTGTTAATGCAGGTATTTGTTTTAAACTTTTACCAACAAATTGGCCACAGCTGGAAACAAGTGAAAGTAATGAGGAAATGTACGGTTATCAAAGTGGTATTTAGCTGGAATATTGGTGAGTATTTCTAGAGCTCGTTGGTGATATCTCGTGAATTTGGACAAGCATGCAAGGTGTCCAGAGTGAGTGAGTGAGTGAGTGAGTGAGTGTTATATTACGGCGTGTCAGATTAATGTAGGAGGAAAGCCCGAAGTGAAGCAGGTCTCTGGCGCTTACCTTACCACGCGCACTGATATGATGCTAACAAACCTAGAAACATAAGCAGGGCGAACCGGGATTCGAACCTACAATCATAGGTTTCTGGCGTACCAAAGGGAATCACGGCGCCTTAGACGACTGGGCCAGCAGTCCACCCTGTCATCATTAAATGAGTTGGTATTGACACTCTTTGAACGGCGTATCAACATGACAAAGGAGAGGAAAGCCTTTGTATATGTATGTGCTACAGGTCTTAGGCTTCAGGTATCATGGCACAAAGAAACCAATGATTACAGTCCTGGATTGGAATCCCGATAAACTTATCTTTCCACGACTAAAGAACTTCCAGACCCAATTTAACTCCTCTTAGACCAAGGGTCAACGAAATAATTAAGATGTTTCTTTGAACACAGTTTCCATGTCTTTTAACATAACAGTGTTTGCAATATTCTCTCAGGAGTAGCATCGTGAATCACGCCGAAGACCCGGGTTCGATTCCCAACATGGGTACAATCTGTGAGGCCCATTTCTGGTGTCCCCCGCCGTGATATTGCTGGAATATTGCTAAAAGCGGCGTAAAATCAAACTCACTCTCAGGAAATGTAATATTTGCTACAATACCTATACGGTAGTATAGTGGGTATGTAGTAGCGGGTATGTAGTAGCGGGTAGTATAGCGGGTATGTAGTAGCGGGTAGTATAGCAGGTATGTAGTAGCGGGTAGTATAGCGGGTATGTAGTAGCGGGTAGTATAGCGGGTATGTAGTAGCGGGTAGTATAGCGGGTATGTAGTAGCGGGTATGTAGTAGCGGGTAGTATAGCGGGTATGTAGTAGCGGGTAGTATAGCGGGTATGTAGTAGCGGGTAGTATAGCGGGTAGTATAGCGGGTATGTAGTAGCGGGTATGTAGTAGCGGGTAGTATAGCGGGTAGTATAGCGGGTATGTAGTAGCGGGTATGTAGTAGCGGGTAGTATAGCGGGTATGTAGTAGCGGGTAGTATAGCGGGTAGTATAGCAGGTATGTAGTAGCGGGTAGTATAGCGGGTATGTAGTAGCGGGTATGTAGTAGCGGGTAGTATAGCGGGTAGTATAGCAGGTATGTAGTAGCAAGGAAGGTCCAGGGTTCGATCCCAGGCCGCGTCATACAAAAAAAAACGTTAAAAGATGGTACTTGTTGTTACCCTGTCTGACGCTCGGCAAGGACTGGTCAGCTCGAGGTCAGTATAATGGGGTATTCATGTTAAACTGCGGCATGGTATCTCAGTGGGTTTGCACTATAAATCGGCATCAGTCCGGACTGGTTTCAATTATAATTTAGTTAAGTAAAGTTTATACTGGTCATACAGCATTTAACTAGATAACATACTGTATGGATGTACTACGATACAGCTTAGATTTAAATGAATAAAATCCACATACAACCAACTGAAAAGATAGTTGAAATACAGTAAACTACGGTTATAACGAACACGCTTATAACGAACTGACGGATATAACGAACTTACTTTTTTAGTCCCGACTATTTGCTGTAGTTATGTTATATATATATGCCTATAACGAACTACGGTTATAACGAACTGAGATTAGTAGTCCCTTTGAGTTTGTTATAACCGTAGTTTACTTACCTACTTTTACTTTAACCAGCAGCTACGTTTAATTATACACTGATGCATTAATCTAACACATCTTAAGAAATACAATATATACAACACTATATATAGTATATGAAATACACAAATCAAATAAACTAACCAGAGCCCCGTTCCACAAAGCGATCGTAACGCTACGAATGTCGTAAGCATTTGGGAACTATGTCGTCTTAGCGCTACGATCGCTTTGTGGAACGGGACCCTGGATTATGAAATCCTCAAAACACAAACACCGAGTTCCAAGAATATACACAGTATTCAACATCCAAAATCAGCAAGGGGATGATTTTAAGGAAAACAGTTACTATCAAAGTGACCTCCTCAAACATATGTGTAAGACTGCCTATTAGATACGCCTGACAGAAACATTTAAAACCGAATACACAATAGATACTTAGCTGACTAGGTCTGTACGGTAGAAGAATTATAAGACTTCATGACAGATGTTTTAAATTACTTGCCTTTGGTGGGGGAGTTTACGGTTCGTAAGCAAAATGGATTTCAACGTGCAGATTTCAGTCGACTGCAGGATTTGCAAAGCATGTGTACTGCCAACTGGGCGTCGACAGATATTTTGCAAATTCTTTCTTTGCTATTAATCAAGATGCTCACGTGATTTAATGCACTTGGCGGGATAAGACCCGTTTATTACAATATAGATCTTGATCATTGAGCAGATCGTCTTGATTGGGCACCGCCATTTTGTTTGAAGCAAATGCAAATGTTAAGATGTGTTAGATTAATGCATCAGTGTATAATTAAACTTATCTAGGCCCGGTTGTTCAGAACCCGGTCAGGTTAACTCCTAACCAGCCGTTAAATATTTAACCACACGTTAGTTAACCAGCCGTTAAATTACTGTTGCAGGATCAATAGATAACCATTAGGTTAGCTAACCACCCGGTTAAATTTTAACATCTTGGTTAAAGCACCGATTAGGTAAATATTATCCCAGAATTCCAAGCGTTAGTACTTCTGTCGCTGTGTCGTATCGAATAATGGCCGAAACAGCGTCAATGACTGAGGAAACTCAAAGGAAAATAAGAAAGAAAAGAAACAGGACTTTTTCTGTGGATGAAGAAAATATCATCCAGTCAATGGTGGAGAGTAATTCACAAGTACTTCATGAAAAACTGAGCAGTGAAGTTACCAATAAGAAAAAGTCTGCTATTTGGATGGCTATCACCAATACAGTTAACATGATCTGTTGATGAGGTGAAGGAGAAATGGAGCAACATGACAAGAAAGGCGAAGAAAACCTTCACCGACTACAGGCTGCAACAGAGGAAGGCCGGAGGGGGACCCCCACCATCCGAACCAAGTCAGGCTACTTCTCGAATTATTGAGATAATGCAAGATTCAGCGGGATATCAGGGGGCTTAGAATCGGAAATTCTTCCAAGTAAGTGCTTGTAACATGGTAACATATTTTATATAAGTTGACAATCTTAAAGCTTTTCTCAGTTAGCTGACTAGAATATCCAATTTGTATTTATTAAGAGTAATGAGAGCATTTACGCAAACCTTTCATTATTTATCTAATTCCGAATCTTTTTAATGCGGAATTTTATAGACCTTGGAAGGGAAGCTACTCTAATTGCAAAAAGGGACGGTACTCTAATCTCACAAGACGTACCTTCGTGGTCACACACTGCCTGTACGTTGATACTGTGGTATCCTTTCCGGTTAACGTAAGCTGGTTCATCTCTGGTCGGTGCCTGAATACGTATGTGAGTACCATCAATGCAACCTAGGACACTCGGAAAACCACCAAGGGCGAAAAATCCATCTTGAACCTGACGTATGTAGCAATCTTGTGTTGGCCATTTTATGAATTCGTTCTTCCTTTTAACCAAGGCATCAGTCACATCTACTATGACACGTGAAACTGTACTTTTGTCCACCCCCATCGTATCACCAACCACTTGAAGGAAACTACCACTTGCGTAAAGACGGAAAGCTATCATCAGTTGTTGATCGACGTTTAGAGCATGGCTAGGTTGTGTAGGGCGCTCCAAATCTTCCCTCGGTATATTGGCGATGTAGTTGATACATTCCCGCCCAAATCTGTACCTATCACGAAGTTCACTGTCTGTGTAGTTTATTAATGCAAAATTAACAGCTCGGAATCACTTCTGTTGCCTCGCATTAACCTCTGGAACCATGAAAGCGGCGCTAGGCCTAACCATGAACGCCATTTTGTTTCAAAGATAACCAAGGTGTTAAGTATTTAACGGAGGTCGGGAGGTGTGTTAACTTTAACATGTTTAACGGGTGTTTAACCAGTCGTTAAAGATAACCATGCTTTGGGAAACAACGGAGAGTTAACACTGACTTAACGGCTGGTTAAGAGTTAACCAGGTTTTGACGTTTTGTTTGTTTGTTTGTTTGTTGTTTAACGCCGCACACCAGCTATATGACGGCGGTCTGTAAATAATCGAGTCTGGACCAGACAATCCAGTGATTAATATCATGAGCATCGATCCATGCAATTGGGTGAGTGAGTGAGATTGGTTTAACGCCGCTTTTAACAGCATTCCGGTTATATCACGGCGTGTCAGCTTAATGTGGGAGGAAAGCCCGGAATGATGCAGGTCATACAGCTGGAATATTGCTGAGTGCGGCGATAAACAACAAACAAACTAACAAACAATGTGTGAAGCCCATTTTTGGTGTCCCTCGCTGTGATAGTAATGGAATATTGCAAAAAGCAGCGTAAAACCGCACCCATTCATTATAAGTTTACGGCCGTGGGATTTACCAGGTCATGGTCTATAAGGCCTACATCACTCCTCACACCTCATGAGGGGGGCACGGGTGGCCCAGTCGTCTAAGGCGCCGCGATTCGCTGTGCAGAGTTGCGTCCCTTGGGCATGCCAGAAACCTATGATTGTGGGTTCAAATCCCGGTTCGCCCCAATTATGTGTCTAGGTTTGTCACCACCATACCCGTGCTCATGGGTTTCACCGTAGTGGTAAATGTCTGAGACCTGCATCACTTCGGGCTTTCCTCCCACATGAAGCTGACACGCTGCGATATAACTGGAATACTGTTAAAAGCGGCGTTAAACCCAACTCACTCACTCACACACCTCTAATGACGTCGTCCCGGGACATTATGAAACCTGTGGGTGAATGTGGGTGGCCCAGCGGGCGAGGTTGACTTCTACCTCGTCAGCGAGGTCCTTGAGTTTTAATTCAAGATTCGCCTGATCAGGTCCCTTGGTTGGTCATCACCAAACCTCTATTACTTTTTTCCTTTAAAACAGTTGCAGTCGAAAGTACAAAATCTTGCTCCCGCCGTTCTCTTAAAAAATGTTTGTTTCTCAAATAAAACCCGTTCTGGTGTATTCATCCGAGGTATGGGGTTGGCATAAAGGGGAGGCATTGAAACAGTTTCATGTAAAATATTTTAAATATGTTCTAGGTGCTGGCAAATCTTCAACTACTGCAGCTACTGAGTTTCACTTTCTCCTGGTATGTCAAGCTTACAGACATTTACGTGATAAATATTTGCCATCTTTCTACTCTGTACACCCGAATGACCATAAGTGTAGATCTTTTAACTTCATCTAATGATACTATGTTATGTAACCTGTCGACATATGTTTATCACGCCATGTCACATAGAAACGGAATTGTTAGTTAACAACCACGTCACCTACATGTAAATACGCATTGTACTATAGGCCTGTGGCCTTTTAAGCACTGAATAAAACTGATTGAGACTGTAGTGTTCCATATCTTTTTTCAAAGTTAAATGAGCATTCAAATTTAGATTTTACTCCACTATAAAGTCAACTTTCGCAATTGAACCATATTTGCTTCAAATACTCCAAAGAAAACAAATGAGATTTCTAACATTATTAAGAATTAGAGAATTACAAATTATGAAAAATATAGGTAGACGGGAGGGTGTACCTGGAAACCTTAGATTTTGTCCTTTTGGTCAAAATATTATAGAAGATACATTTTTTGTTAGTTTGCCCAACTTATGATATTTTAAGACACACAAATTTTTCCAACAATAACTTAAAAAATGAGTACTCCCTCTTAACTACAATACTTCTAACATTGAAACCTTGTCATTATGTGCTAAATATACCCTATCTTTATGTCCACATTATTATAATTCTAATTTGTACATTAACTGCACTCTGTACCTCTTGATACAGTACCACCACTTTGTACATAATTCATGTATTTATATTGTACTTGGGCCTGTGGCCTTTAAACTGAAACAGTGGGTACGAAGTACCCCCCCGCCCCACCCCACCCACCCCCACCCCCAAACACACACACACACAAACACTTTCAATTGTTTGCCTTGTTTCTTTCCCCAGAAATATAATTAATATCAATGCGATATGACGACTCGAACTTGTTTTTTTGTATTTCACATTTGTAAATAAAACGATAACCGTTCGAGCGAAGTTGCTTCCCTTTAGTGATCATGTGACCAAGGAACCTCGATATCATTAGAGTCAATATGGCCGCATTTCCTTTTCAGATCATAGGATTGTTACTCCCAAACATGTAATGAGAATAACAACAAGTGCAAGCACATTTCATTGAACGATGGCTCACCATGAACTTGTCGACACTATTCCTGCGTTCGAAGAGGATTATCGACATAGTGCACTGCACAATATGGATCCTATTGACTTTATCAATGACGATGAACCACTGGATGTATTTTTTCACCGGGTGGATTCAGACCAGATTATATATGAACCTCGACGCAGACGAGCCAAATTGATAGACAAATACCTCATGGGAGACATGCTGGGAGAAGGGTCGTACGGAAAAGTAAAAGAAGTGCTAGATACACACACACTATGTAGGAGGGCTGTGAAAATCTTTAAGAAGAAGAAATTAAGGAAAATCCCAAACGGGGAGCAGAATGTCCAGAGGTAGAAGTATATTGACAGCCTCGATGACACAAGTTATTTAATCAAAATCATAATAATAAGAATTGTTGGTTTTGTTTTGAGGTACTCGTAACCGAGAACTGTTCAGTCACCCAAAATTGAATGTTACATCATATACATGATTTATGTATTGTTTGTTCTCTGTTTTAAGCTGCACTCAGCTATTCATGACGGCTGTATGTCAATAATTGGGTCTGCACCAGACAATCCTGTGGCTGACATCATGACCTTGATCTACGCAGCTGACCACCCATCCCATTAGTCGCCTCTCACTATAATATAAGCATGGCTTGCTGAAGACCAATTCTAACCCGGATCTTCACCGGTCAAATTTATTCATGTTTATGTGCTCTAATAAGTGCTGCTCTTTGAACCCCTACCATATAGAAATACAAAGATAGGAAGTTGATATCTTAACCAAATAGAGATCTTAAAGCAGAAAAGGTACAGGAAAGTACCGGATACCTAAAGGTAATGCATTGCCCAGAGGCTAAATAAATCTGCATGCTGCAGCTTGCCCATCAACTTCATGCTCAAGCGAGAGATCAGTGCAGGCTAAATCAATTTGCTTGACAGTGATGGGCCTGCTAAATGCTCATTTTTCATATGTTACGGACTGACTGAACGGTAGAAAATGCAAACATTCACTCACTCACTCGAAAAATGCAACCAGACAAACTACGCTTTCACATTATTTACAAGTAAAAAATTAATTTTGCTGCAAAATATACGGGGATAATATATCAATGACTATAAAATATCCCTCAAGGAACAGAAGCTGATAGAGGTTTTGACTTGTGGCTTTCCAGATGCCTTAATCTCAGAGAGAATTCACAGTGATAAAAAACTTGATCCATCCTTCCATGTCTAAATTAAACGAGGCAGATTGTGTGGTCAGACTCGCTGACTTGGTTGATACATGTTGTATCCCAATTGCGTAGATTGATGCTCATGATGTCAAACACTAGATTGTCTGATCCAGACAATTATTTACAGACCACTGTCATATAGCTAGAATCTTGCTGAGTTAACAAACAAAATAATGATCATCTACCTCCAATAATTCCTAGATTCACCAGCATGATCATGATCATACTGAATATAGGAAACCACTTGCTGTTGTTTACAATATATCAAATGGTGCAAAACTAATGCTTTTGTTTTAATTTCTGACAAATGAACATAGCTTAGTTTCTATATATATTACAAGGCAATGTATAGAGAGTAAACAGAATATTATGTATCATTAAGTCACATTAATTAAGTCATGAATAATTTTGTGTTTTGTGCTTAGAAAATATTGTGTTGTGTTCTTATTGTTTTTGTAAATGTTTCAGAGAAATCATGCTTTTACGACGACTTCATCACAAAAACATCATTGGCCTGGTGGATGTTTTACAGAATGAAGAAAAACAGAAATTGTATGTAAATCATGTTTCCATTGTTTACATTCATGTAATCATAACTGTATCGCATTAGCGAAACAGGGATACAACTTAATATAAAAACATTATCTAGCCCTTATCATGTTGATAGTGCTAACAACTATGTAACACACCCTGATAAGCCTGAAAATCTACAACTACAAGACCTTAGGATACCTTTAACATTATGCATACTGGCTCTGGCAAGTAAGCTAGAGTGAAGTTGCACCCCTTGACTTTTATAGTTAGTTAACGCCCTTGGCTCTGGAAGATGATCATCTGCTTGACTCCAGGGAGTTTCTGAGGCTTTAATCATGCCCCACACTGAAGCCTAGGTTACAGGTACCTAGTTTTGGAATGCTGTGTCGGAGAGCTGCTTTATTTATATATTGTGTTGCCTTGGTTACAGGTACCTAGTTATGGAATACTGTGTGTGAGAGCTGCAGTATTTATATATTGTGTTGCCTTGGTTACAGGTACCTAGTAATGGAATACTGTGTTGGGGAGCTGCAGGAAATGCTGGAGAAAGCCCCGAAGAAGAAGCTCCCACTCTGGCAAGCACATAGGTGAGAAGTCAGCTTAACTCAGATGATATCAGTTGATAATGTTTAATTTTACTTTATCCTGAATCATACCAATTTGCTTATCTCTTCTTATTCCCGAAATGTAGTGAAAATGTCTTGTGCAGTGTTCCCAATGAACAGAAAGCATCTCACCATGTTCACCCAAACTCACCCCTCTCACCGGAAACCATCTCCCCGAGGCAAGAGAGTAAACTGACTTTAAAGGTCCAGTTTCCACCCTTGGCAAACTATGCTGGAATTCCTGGGCTCAATCGTAGCACCACCAGTGGCAATACAAGTTATGTCCCTTCTATGTCTCTCCTATGGACCAATCAGATTCCACCTCTCGCATCACTTGCATTTGCTTTAAACAAAATGGCGATGCACAGTCAAGACATTCTAATCGCTAATCAAAATCTATATTGTGATAAAACGAGTCTTACATCGTGAAGTGCATCTGATCACGTGAGCATTTAATTAAAAACATGAAAAGATTTAGAAAATATCTGTTGACACATGTTTTGCAAATCCTGCATTTGACCGAAATCTGCATTACAGTTTACGAAGCGGATTTCAATTTCGTTGCGTGATTTTGATTGGACTATGCGTGGACTCGTTAGTCCAGCCAAAATGTAACTCCATTATACCAGCCTACCTGGACTTTTATAGTCAGTTAACTCACTTGCCTCGGGAAGATGACCGGAAACACATGACCAACCAGTCTCATCACTCCCTTATTTTCGCCCCCGCAGGCTGTTTGAGAATTTTCTGTGTTCTTGTAGTCCGATCATCCTAACTCAACTTGGCCTTTCCGATTAACTTTTGGTTCAGATAACCTTTCCAAAACATTCGTTCAACATATTCAACGATTATTTTTGAATTTTGGCAAGGAATTTTTCTCTTTTGGCCTTTTGAATTTTCCTGGGTTTTTTTTCATAATGAAAACATGTGCCGTCTGCATATCTTTATTCGCGATCCACACACCATTTGCCTAACTTGTTCGCATCAAAACTGTACTGCAGACAATGCATGTGACTTCTGCTTCCCCTTTGCTGATGAAGAATTTGTTGAATATATCAAGAGGAAGAAGATAGACAGGAGGAGGAGAGATTCTTCACGCTCCTCTTTATCTAAATTCTAAGGAGAAGAAGAAGAATGAGGAGAAGATGTCATCAGAGCGTCAGACTTCACCATCCCCTACTTCAGATGAAGAAAAGGGTTTTGAATAACAGTTTTGACATAGAAGATTTAGTTGAGATTGATCTTCCCTTGTCACAGACCGCCCCTGTCATCTCAGCCCAGACTTCATCTGTCGGCAGTTGTAGTGTCCACTGTCTACTGAATGGCGTCTTGGATGCTAAGTTGGAAAAGAAGTTTCTGACTTCATCTTCCGACCCTGGCAAGAATCTCCAATTTTTGGCGAAGAAAAGGAAGTCCCCATTTGACCTCCTGGAGTCTCACACCTCCATGATGCCGAAGTTATTGGCCTCCATGAAGCCTTCCCTGTCAAACATATCCGGGAATAAAGACACCTGCGCGTAGTGTGAGACGTTTGTCAAACCCCTGACTTTCGCACAATCTCAACCTTTCACGTAGCCACAGACCTTCGCACAACGGTTTACCTTCATATAACAATCTTAGTTCGCGCAGCCTTCTCTTTTTCCGCAGCACTCTGCATCTGCTTCTTCTTCAACCAGCATGCAACAGCAGCAGCCTCTGAGCATACTCTCGACGCTGTCTTCTCCGTCTTCGGCTTACACTGAAGGGGTTCCCCAGCCGCCACATCGTTCTCTAATTGCAACACTTAATGCCTCCTCCAAGAGGAGGATGTCTTTGAACCTGACTTTAAAGCAAGACACCTCAGTCTGAAGATTTTTCATCCATCTATGAGGATCACTTGATGTTGATGTGGGTTGCTGATGGCCTACCCATTTCGTCACCTCCAGCAATACTCCTACAAGCATGTCGTACTGGATCAAGGTAGATGATATCGACACCTTGACAATTCCACCGATCAAGCATATTCACAGATAGCCAAAAGAATTGATGCTTCTTTTTTCCAAGGCTACCCGTACCCAGGGTTTGCCGACACCAAATTTCAATGCCAAGAAGTTTCCATTATACAGCAGAGCCACCTTCCTGCGGGCCCTGAAGATTGATGAAGACTATTCTTTGATGTCGGCCTCAAGGAGCAAAGGTTACTGCATCGATAGCACCACTTTATACAATGTCGAGACATTCTTTCTTTGGCCTTTCCATGTCCCTGAAAAAACATGTGAAATGATTTACAATCAAGTCAAACGTTTGCGGAGGAACTTACTTGAACGAGCCTCAATACAATCAACATCTATTTGTAGATGCCTCACTCCATGGATGTGGTACCCACCTCGACTCGTCGGGGCTGTGGTCTGCAGAGGAAAAGCTCTTCCACGTCAACCATCTCGAGTTTGAGGCAGTAATTCAAGCAATGTCTTATTGAGAGGCTAGAACTTAATTATAAATTCCGACAACTCAACTGTGACCTTCAACATAAACCTTTCGAATCACAACAAGGTTGGAAACCCTTCTGAGTTGGACATTCCAGCTGTACGAGTTACAGACAGCCTAAATCTGAAAATCAAAGCAAGTCACATCCAAGGAGCGTCCAATGTTCTAGCAGATGCCCTGTCCAAACCATAAGTACCATGGCCAACAGAATGGATGCTCCATCCCAAAGCATTTCGACTGGCGACAAGAGAAGGAGGCTGTCCATCGCGGTGGACCTTGTTGCTACCATGTTCAACAGATTGCTACCTTCGTCTCCCCAGTACCAGACCCTCAGGCTGGTGTGTTGGCAATATCTTGAGAGGGGCTTCGCACTTATGCATTCCCCCACCAGCTCATACCACTGGTTTTGCTGAAGATCATTCAAACAAAGAACCTTCAACTGCTTTGGGTTGCCCCATATGGGCCGGCAAGAACACGGTTCCCAGACCTCGTTGCCACAGCAGGAAAGCCAACTCTTAAGCTCACGATCTGGCCAAATTTGTGTCTTCATCAACACTCAAAACAAGTTTATCTACTGCCGGATCTTTACGAGCTTCACATATGGAGCATATTACGAACTATGTCACAAGACAAGGTTACTCTGTCTGGGCAGCTAAGGCAGTCTTAGTTCCTTAGCACTTTCTAGAACCACAAAGAACTTGTATGATGACAAGTGGAAGAAATTTGACCAGTTCCTTAGAGCAAAAAGTTTCACAGCAGCCAAAGCTACCTCACCACAAGTGGCTGAATTCTTGTGTTCTCTACAGAGCTCAAGATATCTCAAGGGTTCAACCGTAGGAGTTTATCTCGCAGCCATTAGTTCTGTCTTAGCCATGGCTAACGGAGAACAACACGCTGAGGTTTCTGAACTGATAGCCCTAATGTAATCCGACAATGTTGAGGTCCAACAGAAAAAGTTTAGAGCCCCAGCTTGGGATTTAAACAAGGTAACATAGTGCTGCAACATCTAACCAGTGATGTTTATGAACCGCTAGAAAAAGCTGACTTCGATCATCAGACACAAGAAACCTTGTTTCTCCTGGCACTAGCCACAAAAGCCAGAATGTCAGAAGTCAGGACTGTTCATCCTGTTATTGAGAAATGCTTCTTTAGAAATTTCAAGAACAAAGTTTCCTTCAGGATGAGGGAAGTCATTCAAATGCTTACAGGGCATCAGGTCTGGACCCACCAAAAGTGTCCAATCCACATGATTTGTTTGTTTGTTTGTTTGTTTGTTTGTTTGTTGTTTAACACTGACTCAGCAAAATTCCAGCTATATGACAGCAGTCTGTAAATAACCCGAGTCTGGACCAGACAATCCAGTGATCGTCATCATGAGCATCGATCCACACAATTGGGATACGAAGTCAGATATATACAGGGTCTCATATTTTACGACATTTTTTCATTGAAAATCACAGATGACTATTTAGGGCTCAATTTAGCTACAATCAACATGCACCATCACAACCTACTTTTAAGAAGTGCAACCTGATATTTATGTCTACATGCACCAAGCACCAAGTGCATGTAAAACAAATTCAAATTAGTGTCTGACTTATCCTTACTTTATAACTGAACAAAGATTTTTTAACTCATTCAATACCTTTAAGCTTTGTGTACCATACTACACAGCATTAGAAATTGGCTCTAGTCCTGTAGCCCTTGCAAAACTGACCTGTGAAGATCTGGGGTAGAATAGGTCTTCAGCAAACCAAGCTTGCCGTAAAAAGCGACTAGACTTGTCGTAAGATGCGACTAACAGGATCAGGTGGTCAGGTTCGCTGACTTGGTTGATGCATGTCATTGATCCCAATTACATGGATCGATGCTTATGACATCAATCATTGGATTGTCTAGTCCAGACTCGATTACTTACAGACCGCCATCATATAGCTGGAATATTGCTGAGTGCAGCGTTAAACAACAAACCAACCAACCTTGCAAAACTGCCCAATAGTTAAGGTATCATAAGGACTAGTGGAAATTTGCCATTTTTAAGGGTTTTGCTATATGTTGTAAGGGCTACTGCTACACCACTAACCCCTGTGTTTTGTGATCAAACTGTGGGTACGTGCACGTTCCTTTTGTGTTTTGCAGCAATACGTCATTAATTTATTTAAATTGTGATACAGTCGTCAAAGATCTGAGATTTTAAATATTTAGACTAGTTTATGCATCTAAGTTTCAACTTTGATCATGTTGATGAATTTTTGGGTTCCGTCTGGTGCAACTAGGTTTTCTTTTCAACATGCACCTGGTGCAAGTATCATAAGAGCCCTGCTATTTTATTAATGAAACTCACATAAAAGAAATAATAATAGAACTTTGTAAATATTCTGTATGCTTGTATGTTTCATTGTTATATGGTCAGGATTTTCTTGTTATATCTAGTAGTGAAGGTGCGATGCACCAATGCATCGGTGGATCACGATATTTTACTTCCCGATACAAGTATCGATCACAGTTGCACACAA